AGTTGCCTTTCTATTCAATTATGCGTCTGGTCTCATTTCTGTCTTGTGAGAAACCTTATTTAGTTGTGGGAATTGAGAAAAAACCTACCTCTGCGAGGCTGGGAAGCTGAGCCACTTCCACCTGGTGTTTAGAGAATCTTAGCTAAAAGCTTAGGTTATGCTGACCGGAAACGCTGTCAGATCTAAATATTGGCACAAGGAGTTTTCTCACGATAATACATCTCAAGCAGCCCATATGTCTTATCTGAAAACCGGCCCTGTACTGGCCAGTCAGTTCCATGTTCCTTTGATTGTTGACAGACACTGGAGAGGAGGGGGACAAGGCTGTTTGTGGTTTCAGGGAATTGTCCCTCTTTGTTTCCCCCTCCCACCTCGGAAAGTCTCTAATCTTTCCTCCATTAGAAATCAGATGACCTAATGTGTCCTGGCTTGTATCTTGGTATTGTTTTCTTTTAATTAATTGGTCTTCTTTGATGAATTGTTTTCAATATATAAAAATCTGCCTTACTCTTTATTCAAGGTCTTTGAACTGGGACTGGAAAGTCCATTGATCTTTTTATTATAGCATGTTTTACTAATAAATTGTATACCTTGGGCTATTTCCTCAGTCATTAGTTATTCACCACAGTTGTGAATGCTTTGAAGTTTTTTTGAGAACTGTTCGCATCCTTTGGGCCATTCATCCACTAGGGAATGGCTACTCATCGTATTTGCTTATTGTTTATATATCTTGGCTACCAAACCCTGTTGAAGAAACTTGATTCCAAGATCTCTTCCCATTTGTCCACTTGCACTTCCCTTCCGATCCAGGATACTTTACTGTTGCCCGTGCAGGAGTTTTTCACCTTCTCTGCTGTAAGCACAGGGTCACGTTCCTTCAGTTGCTTTACTTTAGTCTTTTTTAAGGAGCCGCTGTTCCCACTAGCTGTCTTCCCCTTCCCCTCTGATAATCTCCCTTTCTCTCTTCTCCTTCAGCTAGTTCCGTCCTTAGTTTTTAAATTTCTTCTTTTTAATGCCCCTTTCCAAACAGGCTTTCTTTCACTCTTTTCATTACCCATTTTCTCGGTCTGTTTACTCTAGGCCCTCGTTCTCTGATTCGTGACCCCTCTAGTTATCTGGTCTCCTCCTTGTCTCTGAAGGTGTTCGTTCTGGAGTCTCCCCTCCAGATGCTTTCTGCCACTGCCTTGTAAGTCTCCCCTTCTCAATCCCCCTTCTCCGTCGTGCCTCCCTTCCAGCACAATGTCAGGGACTACAGTTGTCTGGACACTGGCCCGTGGAAGGGCCCCTTACCAGCAGTGCCTCCTGCTGACTTTTCTGTGTTTGCATGGGGTCTTCTTGTGTCCGTGCCCTCTCCCTGCTGCAGGTGCCATTGGCCCGAGGGGCTCCTACTGCCCAGGCTCTTCACACGCTGAACCCCCCCGGGTCGCATCCCAGAGTGGAACCCGCTTTGTTGCTGCTCCTGCTGCTGCCGCTGTTGACTCCTGTCCAACTCTGTGACCCCATTTGGGGTTTTCTTGGCAAAGATACTGGAGTGGTTTGCCATGTCCTTCTCCAGCTCATTTGCAGAAGAGGAAACCGAGGCAGGCAGGGTGAATTGACTTGCCCAGGGTCACATAGCTGTTAAGTGTCTGAGGCTGGATTTTAACTTGGGTCTTCCTGACTTCAGGCCCAGCACTCTCTCCACTGCACCACCTAAGCCACCCTAAGCTCAGGGTCAGTGAGAGTCAATTCCTAGGATTGGGTTTTGATTTGTTTTGGTTTTTTAACCTTATTTTGGATTCTTAGGTGTCCTAAACTATGGAAACAGTGGAAGTCACTTCATTTTTGGTGCACTGTTTCTCTTTTGGAGAGTTTTGAGAGGTTGTAGGCATTGGAGAAAACATCTAGTCTGCCATCTTGTTGCTCAAGTGACCTCGCAGTTATCTGTCATAACTTTTATAATCGTCTCTCTTTTCTTTGTTTTTTTAAGAACCTCTCCCTTTGGGGCAGCTAGGTGGCGCAGTGGATAGAGCACCGGCCCTGAAGTCAGGAGTACCTGTGTTCAAATCCGGCCTCAGACTAAGCACTTAACACTTACTAGCTGTGTGACCCTGGGCAAGTCACTTAACCCCAATTGCGCCGCCCCCCCCAAAAAAGAACCTCTCCCTTTAGTCAGAACTGTGCAGAGTGTCTGATGTGGTTCTCTTCTGACTTATTCTGTGACCTTTAGCAGTCACGATGTAGGAGCTCCATGCCCTTTCTGATGTAGCGGCAATGTGGTGTGGTGCCCAGGGTGCCAGCCCTGTCTCAGGTGCTTCAGTGCTGGGTGGACGTAGGCAGATGTCTCCGAGACTCGTCTCTTCTTGTCTAAAACGAGGGGCTCACGCGAGGTCGCTTCTCAGGTCCTAGTCAGCTCTCAGAGCTGTGCTCCAACTACAATGCTTCTTACAGTCACGGCCTTTTTGGTAATATTTTCCACTGGCTCTTGGCTTTCTTGTCATTTTGATTTCAGTCCCATTCGGGACGCTTTTCTAGAGCAATTTAGATGAGCTGCCTTTTAACCACTCCACTTCTTTAATTCAGTCTTGGGGTACCCTCATCAAACCATCATCTAGGAGGCAAAGCAGGTGATCGATAGCTCTGTTGTCTTCAGCTCTAGTCGGACCACATTTGGAGCATTCTGGTTATTTTTGAGTATCAGATTTTAAGGTGATCGTTGAAACTCCGAAGTATGTCCAGATGAGGGCTTTCTGAGTGATGAAGGGACTAGTCCACCATGCTGGGTGGACATGAGTTGAAAGAAGTGAATATGTTTAGCCTAGAAGGGGAGAAGATTTAGGGGAAGATAGGATCATGGCATTTAGAGCCAGAAAGAAGCCAGGGACATCATCTCATCCAACTCTCACTTACTGAAGAAACTGAGGCCCGTGGAATCTTAATTGCTGTTGTCACCTATTTGAAGGCCTGTTATTATGCAGGAGAACGTCCTGCCTGCTTTCAGGTGATAGAACTGGGAACAGCAGGGCAAAGTTACGTGGAGACATTTTGGTTTGATAGGAGGAAGAACTTCTATGAAAGTTGGAGATGTTTAAAAATGACAAGGCTGCTCCTCAGGGAAAGCGGAAATGGCTGTATGGATTTGTGGTCCATGGGAGGATTGGCCTGGACAGGCTCCGGGGTCCCTTCCCTCTCTCAGACAGTGGGCTATTCCCTCTCTTCTTCCTGATCTCCCTAGCTCTCTAATGGCATCCTTGGCACGTGCCCTTGATACTAGCTGCATCTTCCCATCCTCCCTGTCCTTCACTTCTTCCTTCTCCCTGTTCAGGGATAGAAGCCACGTCCCATCAGTTCAGCCTCCACAGCAATGCTGTTCTCCCAGCCATCTACTCCCTGGCTCCATCTGTAGATGATCTCTGCCTCCTTTGGCGGGTGATGGTGGGGCTGTCTCTTTTACAATGTCTACCTTGAATTAGGGTTATTCATACACATATCTTATGTCTGTTACTAGACTGGAAGTTCCTTGAGGACAGGGACAACATTCTATTCATCTTTGTGTTCTATACTTAAGTTTAATCAATAATTGATCTTTAATCATTGATTAAATTGATTGATAATCATTGATTGGTTAATCATTTAATAATTGACAAGGTTTCACAAGGTACTTTTCTCACAAAAACTTTCAGAGGCAGTTAATGCAAGTATTATCACGATTTTACAGATGAAGAAACAGACTCAGAAAGGTAAAGTCACACAGATAGTGTTCAAGCCAGGATTTCATCCCGTGTCTCTCCTGAGCCCCAGATCCTCCATTTAATATGTATGTCAGAATGGTGTTCATTTGCTGCAGGTGCTGTCACTAGGATTAGGCTTCCTTATTGTTTTTTTTCAGCTGTAATTTTGGGCATCAAGCAGATTTTTTTTTTGTCTTTTTGTAGAAGAGGAGAGATTGGGGATCTTAGCATGTTGGAGGAAACTTTTCTAAGAAAAGATAGAGTGAGGTTGTGATATGAATAAACTTTCTCAATATAAACTAAGGTATTCTGTAGCTATTATTTTTGAGGGGGTTAAGCTTTCAGCTTTTGTTTGCTTTAATGGCATTGTACCCCGAGTGGGTGGGGTTTGGTCTGGTGTTTTTTCTGGGCCTTCTTTGATTTTTCTGTGTTTTGTCCTGTTTCAATCTTTACCAGTAATTGTAATAAATTAAGGAAAAGTTACATTTAGGTTGTTATTCTTCATTTTATGACAGCTCTTGCTAACATCTCTGCTCAGATTTTCACAGACCACGGGAGAGCATAAATTCTTGGTCAGAATGTACAGTTCGGGGCTATGGCTGTCCTTGTTTTCCATCTCCTTTATCAGTGGATTTTTGAGTGTTTGGCGTGATGTTTATTCTTTTTATTGTTTTTTTTTTAATTGGTGCCTTTTGTTTTGTCAAAACCTTACCTAATCTCTGCCCCCCCTTCCCCCCTCACACATACTACCTTCCCCATAAAAAAAGAGAGCTAAGGCCAGTTGCCTGATGGTGTAATGATGACTAATGGTGCCCCTCAGTTTCCAGTTTTGTAGTTTACCATTTGTTCAGCAGAAGGAAGAATGTGGTGTTTTGTTTTGGAGCCAACATTGTTTGTTGTCTTTGACTTGAGTGTGTTTGCTTTTTAATATTGTATCCATAGAGATCATTGTCATCTTTATATTTGCATATTATTCTTCTGGTTCTGCTTTCTTCACTTTGCATCAGTTCATACACCACATCTTTCCCAGCTTTCAACCATGAGGTTTGAAGTTTAAAGAATCTCTTCTGTTTGGCAGATTCATGACATTGTATTAGTGCTTTTTTCCTAGACTTTACTTAATGAGATGCAGAAAGTTAAAATGGAAGAACACGTCCCCTGGTTTAATTCTCCTCTGCGGTTTGGAGGAGTTACCTAAGAATTATGTCTTATGTGTTTGTTATAGAACAATGGAGATTTTCAGGTTTGATCCAATTTAGTATTTACTTTGATTTCATCTTTGATTTACAGGTGACACAAAAGGATCATGTTTACATTTTCAAGATGAACGAGATTCTGACCTTGAGAAGAGAAGCTGAACCATCGCGGCCCACGCTTATGTTCACAGCATGGAGCATTTGTACTCAAGAGGCTCAGAACGGTGACTTGGGCCCTGTGATGATCTGCTCTCAAAGAGACTGAGTTGTGTCTGCAAGTTTTCAGTAAGAGTGGAAAATGAATCCTGTTTGCAAAAACAGCCACGTTACAAAAGACTGAAGATTGGACGTTTGTGCTCTTGCACAAACTCTGTTCTTTGGATCAAATTGTCCTCCTAAGTTATTACCATACAATGATACAGCCAGAATAATCACTGTCAATCATGGATAAGAATCAGGAAACATGTCCAAAAATGGATAATAGTTTTGTGTTAGATAAAATAAATTTTAAAGTAGAACCCGAAGATAACATGATGAACCATAGTTTGGAAAGAATGGATTTTAAAAGTGAGCAACAGGATGTGAGACAGACGGACAGCAGCGACGAACAAGCAGAATTCAAAGGAAAAAGCCGTAGCAGTCGTCACCCTGGGAAATACTCTTCTCCTGACAACGAGGAGGAGTATGGCTCTTTATTTTCACAGTACAGCAGCACACTGTACGATGTGGCAATGGAAGCTGTGGCGCAGAGCCTTCTTTCCAGCAGAAATATAAGCTCCAGGAAAAAGTCTCCAGCTTGGAATCACTTCTTCATTTCTCCTCGGGATAGCACTAAAGCAATATGTATGTACTGTATGAAGGAATTCAGTCGGGGTAAGAATGAGAAGGACCTGAGTACCAGCTGCCTGATGAGACACGTGCGAAGGGCCCACCCCACCGTGCTCATTCAGGAAAACGGGAGCGTGCCCAGCATCGCCTCCTTTCCATCTCCATCCCTACTCCTCCCTCCACAGCCTGCGGACGTCGGCGACCTGAGCACCGTCTTGTCACCTATAAAACTGGTCAAGAAGATCGCTTCCAAGATGCCCTCCCCAGACCGCTCTGTCGTGGAGGAATCTGGCTCCGTCGTTTCTTCTGAAGAAATGTCGTCCGACTTGTCCATCTCGGAGAAATACCACAAAGAAGAAGCCCTGGTGGCCTCCTCTCCCCACCTGGCCAGCGCCCAGTACGAGGAAGCTGTGGAGAACGTAGCAGAAAAGAGCGTGGCCGTCCCGAAGAGCGCATCAGGGTCCCGGAGAAGGTCTGCTGTCTGGAAGCATTTTTATCTGTCTCCTCTAGACAACTCTAAAGCCGTCTGCATCCACTGCATGAATGAGTTTAGTAGAGGGAAGAACGGGAAAGATCTGGGGACGAGCTGTTTGATAAGACACATGTGGAGGGCCCATCGCTCAATTGTTTTGCAAGAGAACGGAGGAGGGACAAGCATACCACCTCTTTATTCCGCTCCCCCAACACTGTTGCCTTCTTTACTGCCCTCGGAGGGAGAGCTGAACTCTGTGGCATCTTCTCCAGGAAAGTTAGTGAAAGAGTCACCCTCAGCCTCCTCTTCTCCTGATAGGCTAGCGGAAGAAATCCACTCTCATCTCAATCCTGGAGATGCTTTAATGGAAGACGTGTCTGTCCTGTCATCTTCTGATGACATCGGGGAAGCATCCCTGGTGTCTTCTCCCGAGAAGCAGGGGGATGCATTGAGTACCTTAATATTTGAGCCGGGCACTGTTTTTCAGCAAAATAAAAAGATAATGAAAAGACTGAAGTCTGAAGTTTGGCATCATTTTTCGCTGTCTCCCACGGACAACTTGAAAGCAGTCTGCAGATATTGTAGTTGTATGATTAGTCGTGGGAAAAAGGGTGATGTTGGTACAAGTTGTTTGATGAGGCATCTGTACAGGCGTCATCCAGAAGTGATTGGGAACCAGAAGAGCTTCATTGATGCTAGTTTGGCAAATTCTCCTTATGCCACTTTGGCTTCTGCAGAATGTTCCTCCTCCAAATTGACCGACTTGCCAACGATGGTTACGAATGATAATCAAGTGATCTTTCCTGTTAATAGCAAAAAGACCTCAAAACTGTGGAATCATTTTTCCATTTGTTCAGCAGACTCAACAAAAGTAGTATGTTTGCACTGTGGACGTACAATAAGCAGGGGAAAGAAGCCAACCAATCTGGGTACCAGTTGCCTTCTAAGACATTTACAACGGTTTCATGGCAACGTGCTGAAAAATGACGCCTCAGAGACAGTGTTGCCCTCTGCTGCCGAGATGCGTGTGCCCCTGAGCACAGAGTTACTAGGATCATCGTCCTTGGACGAAACCAATGAAAAGTTTTCTGACTCTCACCCAGTTGCCAAAAAAATCACAAGTCTTGTAGCAGAAATGATTGCACTTGACCTTCAGCCATATTCTTTTGTAGACAATATTGGCTTTAACAGGCTGCTTGAATACTTGCAACCTCAATATTCTTTACCTGCGCCATCTTACTTTTCTAGGACCGCAATCCCAGATATGTACGATAATGTGAAGCAGATCATTGTTTCCCATCTTAAAGAAGCTGAGAGTGGCGTGATCCATTTCACCTCCGGGATCTGGATGAGTAGCCAGACTCGGGAGTATCTCACCCTCACTGCACACTGGGTCACGTTTGAGTCGTCAGTCCGGCCCCATTGTGAAGACTACCACTGCTCCGCACTTTTAAACGTGTCCCAGGTGGATTGTGACTACAGTGGGGTCAGTGTTCAGAAGCAGCTGGAATATTGGTGGGAAGCCTGGGTCACCTCGGTTGGCCTTCAGATTGGGATTACCGTGACTGATAATCAGAGCATTGGGAAAACATTAAATGAAGGGGAACACTCCAGTGTGCCGTGTTTTGGTCACACGATTAATCTGATCGTCAATGAGGCTATTAAAAGTCAGAGGATGGTTCAGAACTTACTTAGCATCGCTAGGAAAATCTGTGAACGGGTGCATCGGTCAGCAAAGGCAAAAGAGAAACTTGCTGAGTTGCAGAAAGAATACGCGCTGCCTCCGCACCATCTTATTCAGGACGTTCCGTCCAGATGGAATACGTCCTTCCACATGCTCGAGCGCCTCATTGAGCAGAAGAGGGCAATTGACGAGATGTCCATCGAATGCGGCTTCCGCGAGCAAATCAGCTGTGACCAGTGGGAAGTCATGCAGTCTGTGTGCCACGCCTTGAAGCCCTTTGAGGCCGCGAGTCGGGAGATGAGTGCACACGTGTCCACGCTGAGCCAGGTCATCCCGATGATTCACATTCTCAATAGGAAAATAGAAATGCTGTTTGAGGAAACAATGGGCATTGACACCATGTTGAAGTCTTTGAAAGAAGCAATGGTAAGTAGATTATCCTCTACCCTTCATGACCCAAGGTACATTTTTGCTACGCTTTTGGACCCCCGTTATAAAGCTTCCTTATTTACAGAAGAGGAGGCTGAACAGTACAGGCAAGATTTAATCAGGGAACTAGAAATATTGAGTTCTACCTCAGATGATAAACCTGTTTCCAATGGGTGTGATATAGGTTCACCATCTACAAACTCTGTTGGAGAGGACAGCCTCTGGTCACTTATGGCCAAGCTTAAAAAAAAAGATCTAAAAGACAAGACAAAGCTGCCAGAAGAAATGGTGCTTGCCTACTTGGAGGAAGAGGTGCTCGAACACAACTGTGACCCCCTAACGTACTGGAATTTAAAGAAGTCGTCCTGGCCGTCCCTGGCCAAGCTGGCCGTCAGGTTCTTGGGCTGTCCCCCAAGCATCGTTCCTTCGGAAAGACTGTTCAGCAATACATCCAGTGAAAACAGCAGCTTTAGCCAGTCCAGGCTCATGATGGAACACTTTGAAAAACTGATCTTTTTGAAAGTAAATCTTCCTTTAATATACTTTCAGTATTGAAACGAATGAACAAGCTGCCAGATTCAAGCGATTGACGCCTACTGAACATTCACTGTCTTTGTGACTGGGATGGTTGAGTCGCTCCACGTAGGGGCCATGTATGACATCCAATCAGTGACCCTGATTCCAAGGTTAGCGCCACTCTCCAGCTTTCAATCCAATGTCTACATGTGCCTTATCCATAGTTCTTCAGGCCAGATGGTGTATATATGTTTTTTTAAGAAGTCCACACTAGGTAGAGTCTGTCTTGTCAAATTATAAAATATGACTATTAGGTTTTAATCCATAACTGTAAACTTTTAAGGGGGGATGTCAGTTATTTGTTTTAATAGAATGGCAAAACAGAGAGAGAGAGATGGACACAGTTTGACTCTGTAGGGTTTTTTTATTCAAGTATGTAAAAACCATGAACCAGGTACTGTATTTTAGTTCATCTTTGCTCTTAGGGCAGCAGAGCCACTTTTAGAGCTGTCCGGTGGAAGCTGGGTTTCAGAGGTGGAGGTCAAAGCCATCCTTTCCTAAGCAGTTGTTGACCGCCGGCTCTCAGATGGCGGGAGGGTGCAAACAAGCCAGACGGGGGGAGCCGCTTACTAGCATGGGAAATGTTTAGTATTCGAACACGCAACTAAAGTGAGAGGTATTATGGAATATCTGTTATACAGGGATCTCTAAAGAAACTTCCCATTGGTTTTTGTGTTTGTTTTTTTGTGTTTTTTATTCAGGTTTTACATTTGTCCTTGAACTTCAGAACTATTCTGAGTATTTATATAAGCTGCTTGGTATTTTCACCAAGGTTTGTGAATTCATGCTTATGTTATTTAACACAGTGCATAAGATGGCAAGATATCTACAGCAGAAGCTCAGTTAATTGATGGTGAAGCCTTTAAAATCCACTTTGTGTATCCTCTGTTGTTTATGAGGCTCCTGGTGTCAGATCCGAGTCCACTGAATGCATAAGAATCTGTTGTAGAAAGCCGATTACTGTATTCCCTTCACAAGAGTAGCCTTATAGACGTGGAGCACTGCTTAGTCTTTTTAAATGTACCTAGGGATGATTCAGCAGGCACATGGGAGATTTTAGAATCCTAAGACATCAGAATGAAGTAAAAGTAGTCAGGTTTTCTTTGGACAGTATGTTCTCAATATTATTTTTGTTTTAACATCTAGAAAAGGGGTCAATTTCTCATTTCAGTTTTTAGATGAAATATTTGGGGGGTAATAAGTCACTCATTTGCCTATGAACTTTTAGAAAAGTTGTAGTTTTGTTAAAATACTGTACCTTTGCCTAATCTAATTTTTGCATTTACTATGTTTTAGTGTATTTATAAATGGTGAACTCAGTTTCTGAAATTAAACATTTTATTTGCAATTTTCTAGTGCTGGCGAACCCTTTTATTTCTAAGTGCAAACAGTTTGTGTAACCGAACCATTATACCCCATTCCCGTGTACTATCAAAGTCTAACTTGATTCCAGATTGAAACTCAATATGCCAGGCAGTCAGTTACCATTCTTGATAGCTCTCTGTGCCCTGTGCTGGGGAGCTCTGGGCAGGGATACCCTTCCTCAGGGGAAGAAAACTGATCCTTCTCTCAATCCTGAAGATGGAAGGAAAGTGAACCTACCTCAGATAAATATGAGCATGAGAAACAAGTTAGGATATACAGCTAACATCCCTCCCAAAACCATACTAAGCAGAGAGGGGTGAGAAGACCTGAAGTTTGTGTGTGTGTTTGAAAAATGATGATACGGAATTAGTATTTGTGCAGAAGGGTCTCAACCGGGCACAAGCTCCCTCCAGGGGAGTGATTGGCTAAAATATGGTCTGACTGGGGAGGTGGGGGGTGAGGGCCAGGTTAAGGTGTAGTACACAAGTGTGCCCTTGTCCTGGGGGCTTCTTGGGAGCCTGTCTGGCGGGGCCTTCCTCACCCAGGCCGTCCAGCGGTTTGGCATCTGCTGTCTCATCACCTGGCCTCCATGTCACAGAGATGTTGGGATAGGCCATGGACCAAGTCATGATCCTGCAGAAAGCAGCTGGCTACCAAGCACCTTACACTCAACTTGACTAGCCAGACAGCTGCAGATGTCCAAGAAATCTAAGCCAGCTCAAGAGAGGGAATGGTGACTCCAGACCTGGAAAACTGTGCTGCTCACAGCCAGCTAGCCTTCTGGCTCAGCCCGCCTCAGTGGTCCCCCTTGTTCAGGCATGCCCAGGCTGGTGTCGAGGGCAGAGACACTTAGTGGGTTCCTGTCAACTGGGCCCACTAAGAAGAAAATAACAGCAGAATAAGAAATGTAAAAAAAATAACCCGTTGAAGACCCCTGTCCTTCCTCTGTCAAACGAAAATGTAAAGTAGCTGTCCTCCAGTGGCCCCCACCGCAGTCAATTCAGAGACAAAACTCCAGGTGGAAGGCACCTTGGTGGTCATCTACTCCAGAGGAAACCCCACCAGTCTGGTCATCCCGCCTTGGCTCGCAGACCTCCAGTGAGGGAGCCCACTATTGCCACCCATTACTTCGGGTTCTCCTGGTTCTGCTTGAAAACTCCTACTGTCCCCACCCCCACTTCCAAACATAACGGTTTCCAGTTCCTGTCACTGTCCTCTGGAGACCGTCCAGGTGATAAATGGCCCTTCTAAGCCGTAACACCCAGTGCTTGAACACAAGTCTCCAGATGGGGTCTGACTAGGACGGAAGACCTTTCAAGGGGCAAGCCTGGAAGCGACACTTCTTAATGGACGTCAGGATGGCGTCTTGGGATGCCACCACACTGCCAACTCATTGGACTTGCGATCCATGAAAACTCTTCTTTTTCAGACAGCCATGTCTAATCGAGCCTCCTCTGTCTTACACTTGGGAAGATGATTTTTGAACCCCCTAATACTGAATCCCTATTGAATTTCATCTTCAAAAAAAGGATAACTTTTATTTTACCTTATCTTCTCTAAATATATCCTTCCCCTTATCCCTATCTAGATGGCCTTCTCCTGCGGCAAAAAATTTTAAAAAATGAAAACAGAGGGGAAAACAGCAGTCAGCAAAACTACTCACCACCTTAGGGAGTCTGATAGGATATGCAAACAAGAACTCCACACCCACAGTCCCTCACCTCTGCAAGAAGAGGGAAGGGCAGGGGGATCACTGTCATTCCACTTGTGTACTGCTCAGGTTTTCTTTCCACTTATGTTGTGATTAATCATTATGGCTTTCCTGGTTGAGTTGACTTCACTTCACTTTGACCTCTAACCCTAATTGTCCTACTTCTCTGTGATCTACAGTCATCATTTCTTAGGGCACAGAAATACTCCATTACATTCATGCACCATAATTTGTTTAGCCATTCCCCAACTGATGATCCACAAGGATCTGGGGGCACATGGGAGTTATGTTTTGACCTTCTTGGGGTACATACCTGGCCGTGGGAATCTCTGGGTCAACAGGAATGGGCATTTTAGTCACTTCCTTAGCATAACCGAATTTCTTCTTACTGGGTTAAGTATTTAAGCCTGTTAGGATTCTGACCCGCTCAACCATTGGATTAGCGGTCTTTCCTGCATGAGCAAACATGGTAAGCATGCCATCTCTGTCTTCGGCCATTTCACTGGAGACTTGGAAGACCAGCATAGATCCCTGGGGTACTTCCCCAGAGACGTGTTGCCATTGCATCCATATTAGCTACTCATTGGGTCCAGCCATTGAATCGAGTCAGAACTGATGTAGCTTCCTCACCACCTAATCCGTATCTGTCTTTCTCAGAAGCATAGCGTAAGCTACTTTACACAATACTGCATTTGTCAAACATCTAGGTAAGCTGTGTCTCTGGTCCTTCGCTTGACACTGCTTCAGTTATCCTGACAGAAAAGAAAATGAATATTCTGGCATGACCTGTTCTGGGCAAAGACTTGATGGCTCTTTGTGAGACCCACAAGCCAAAGCAAGCATTTATTAAGCACCAGCTGTGTTGCCAGGCATGGTGCTACATATTTTAGGAACATCATCTCATTGATTCTCACATCAGCTTTGGGAGCTAGGTGCTATCATTACACTCATTTTACAGATAGGAAAATAGGGACACAGAGAGCGGGAATAAGCATTTATGTAGCACCTACCACATGTTCTGTGTTGTGTGAAGTGCTTTACAAAGATTTCATTTAATCCTCACAACCGTGGCAGGGAGGAGCTTTATCCCCATTTTACAGTTGAGGGCACTGAGCTTAAAGTGACTTGCCCTGGGTCACAGACCTAGTAAGTGTTTGAGGTTAGATTTGAACTCGAGTCTTCCTGACTCCAGACCTAGCTGCCTCCATAAACAACTTGTGTTTTATAGAAGTTCCTCAGCCATCTGCTTAATTCTCGAATTTTATCAGGACAAGACCAGCTCATTGGCCTGTAATTCGAAGATTCTATTTTCTTCCCCCAGATTATGGTATTTGCGCTTCCTTGGACTTGTGACGCCAGGCTCATTCTCTTCAGCCTTTCAGCTGTTACTGACATCAGGTCAGCAACCACAGTCGGTCTTTCAGTCCCGAGGAAGGCCTTCATCGTGGCCCGGTGACTCAGCCTCATCCTGGGCAGCTGGATGCGCTCTCACTATCTCCTTCCTCACTGTGGGGATTAGCTGGCTATTTGGGGTCTCCTGTTTCCTTGGCAGCAAAACCCAGAAGTAATGACATCTGAGCGGCTCTGCCACCATCTTGTTCTCCCCTTTCCTCCAGTAGGGCTTTGAAAACAAAAACCAAACCCACCCCTTGTTTGTTGATGTCCCTAGCTTCCCTCAGCTCATTCTGAGTTTTAGGACTATCGACGGTATTTGTATTTTTTTTCTGATGGTATTTTTAAAATAGGCTTTTTATTAATATTTTAAATATTCAGATTGATTAAATCTCCCCAGAAAATCATCCCTTATAACAAAAAAAAGGAGGCAGAGAAAAACTTTCAGTAGAATCATTCAACACGGTCAAACCCCCCTGCCATCATAGACGGTGCTGCACACCTGCAGATCCTCACCTCTCTGAAGGAGTGGGAAAAGGCACCTTCTGACACCTCTGCTCCGAGACGTGCTCATTCTTTATAATTTTGCAACATTCAGGCGCGATGGTTTGCTTTTTTATTTGCTTTGCTGTAGTCGCTGTATGGAATCTTCCTGGCTCTGCTCACTTCACTTTGTGCTTCTGTTCTTACCATGTTTGTCACTTCTTACAGCGCCGTGAGTTTCCATTACATTCGTGTGCCACAGTCTGTTTCATCATTCCACAGTCCTGGTCATCTACTTTGTTTTCACTTCTAACATACAAAATTACTGCTATAAATATTTTCAGTGTATCTGGAGCCTGTTTTTATCAATAACCTACTTGGGATTTGTGCCTAGCAGTGCAATCTTTGAGCTGAAGGTTATGGGCCTATTCTGCCACCTTATTTGCAGAATTCCTCATTGCTTTCCAGAATGGTTGTACCCTTTAACAGCTCCACCAGCGATGCATTAGTGTGCTCATCTTTCCATGAGCCCTCCAGCGCTGACCCTCCCATCTTCTGTCCCAACACTGTATTTATAAGATTATGCCACTCTTGACCATCTTTTTTGCCTATCACATTTAAGCTCTGTTGGGATGCCCCGTTGGCATCCACACTGGTCTATTCTTTCCTCTTCATCAGAACTGTTTTCTTTGGGCTTTCAGAATTGGATTTTTGAGAGTCTGGACTGATTTTCCCTGTAGAATTTTGCTCTATCTTTCCTCTCGACCTTTGATGTTTTCTCCCCAATCTTGGATATTTATCAGACCACGCCTAGTTTTCCTCCTCTCAATCACAATTCTAGGAGGGAGTGGTCCCTCACCTCCAAGACTTTCATAATTTTTTTTTATAATTTATTTTTAGTTTTCAACAATCACTTCCATATGCTTTTGAGTTTTAAATTGGCTTTCATGATTTCTACACCAGCTTTCACTTCCCTGTGAGACTCATATCCAGAATAGTTTCCCCTTGCTGGTTCCTGCACTGTTTAAAAAATGAAATTGTGGTTAAGGCAAGTCAGGTAGTTAACTAGTTACTCCCATTTTGGGATAAAGAGAGAGCTCCCACTGCATCTGAGTAGCTGACCTTATGGGTCACTGTTGTATCGTACCCTTTGCCAAGCTCCTGGTGGTTCCTCAACACATTTATTTCCTCTCTGTCCAGATGCTCTATAATCTCTAGCATAAGAGCTGTGTCCTGCAACTCTCAACCCAAATTTATGTAACTGATGCCCATATACTGTCATCTATCAGATGAAAATGCCTCTTTGAGTCACTGAATCAGTCAATGTACAGTGTCTACTTAGCCTGGACGGTTCCTAAGACTTCGCTTGAATTAATCAATATAAGCCAGGTAAAACAAGCAAACAAAAAAAACCAAGCCTTTCCTTGCTGAGTTCGGGAGGAAGATAACCCTTGGGTTACTGAATAAAGAAATCAGAAGAGGCCAGACCCAGAAAGGTCTGTTCTTGGCCAAAGACAATCAGCCTCTGCACTCCCATTTACAATTATTTCCCGTTTTGGCAATGAAAACGGGGAGGGGTGTGTAATTGTTGCTAGATTTCAGCTAGCACAGTCACTTTCATTATTTTATCGATAGAAGCAGAAATACAAGCTTTATAAAACAAAACCAAAAAAAGACAATCAGCCTTGCCCAGTGGGTCCTGGCTTTTGGGGTGCAGCAGACCAGCCCAGGGGGTGGGGCAGCCCTAGCCACGTCCTTCACAAAGAATGGATTGTGGGTTGGGGAGGGGGGAGAGGGAGGGAGGGTGACTGTGTCTCCTCCCCCTTGTGACCTGTGAAAGGAAAGATTTGGACTCATGTCATTGGTGCTGGTAGCAGTGGCCCTGGATTAGCAACCAATGACCCAAAGCCATGGTGATTTTTTTCCCCCTCTTAGTAAGCACCAGAGACTCCATATTGCCTAGGAGAGGCGACTGGGTGGTAAGATGGATAGCACTAGACCTGGAATCAGAAAGATGGGAATTCAAACTAGCTCTGTGACCCTGGACAAGTCATTGCACCTGTCTGCTTTAGTTTCCCCATCTGTAAAACTGGGATCATAATATCCAGCCTCCTAGGATTGCTTTGAGAATTCAGTAAGAAAATTTGTGAAGCGTTTTACCAACCTTAAAGCGTTATGTAAACGCTCACTATTATTATTACCCCTGTGGCCAAATAGAAATTCCTCTTTGGAATGGAAGGCCTCCCACAAATTGGCTGCTGCCCTGCTGCCCCTGGTTTATTACGCATTTTGTCCCCCTCTTGTCCTCTACGCTGCAGCCAGACTGGCCTCTTGTTGTCCTCCCCGTGACCCTCCGTGTCCAGTCTCAGTCCTTGCACATGGACTGACCCCACCCCTGGAAGGCATCCCCTTCTCCCCACCACCTCCTGAAGTCCGTGGCTTCCTCTGACGCTCAACCCAAGTATGGCGTCCTACAGGAGAATTCTGATCCTTCCAGCCTTACTGCCTCCCAATTGTCTTGTATTTATGAACCAGAAGACAAGGAAAACACCTCGAAAGATTTTCAAAAGCATTTTTTTCACCACAGATGGTGCCTCCTCCTAGTCCAGGCCAAGGGCTACAGGAAGGCATAAAAAAGTGCTGACAGCACCAACGAGAAGAGCAGTAGGCGAGACCCCACGGACCTAGAGGAGGGCTGTGCTGGGGGAGACACAACCTTCCAGGCGTGGGGACAGCACTAAAGATTTGGTGGGAAAATCATTTATCTTACGGTTCAGAAACAGAGATGGGACAGACAGTTTTCTCACTGTCTCCAAGACGGGCTGTTGTGAGCCTTTCCCCAGCAAACCCCAGCACATGGCTGGGCACAGTGGGTGTGGGGTGTAAGATGGCTCAGTGAACATTAACCAGACCCCAAACAATGTCATCACTTCCCCTGGGGCTGGATCCACAGCTGGGGTTAACTCCCGCCCCCACCACCCGCTTTGCCCACCAGCTGAAATTCTGCCCACCCTTCGAGGCTTAGCTCAAATCCTAGTGGCCTCTTCCCCTTGTTTTACTTCCAGTCTTAGAACAGAAAAGCCCCATGTGGAATTCTTTGGTCCTCATGGCCTCTGTGAGCGCCCCAAGGCCTGGATCAAGGTTCATTTTGTTATTTTCCCCACTCTTTGTGTTTTTTGGCTAGGCAATGGGGTTAAGTGACTTGCCCAGAGTCACACGGCTAGTAAGTGTTATGTGTCTGAGGCCGCATTTGGACTCAGGTCCTCCTGAATCCAAGGCCAGTGCTCAATCCACTGCGCCACCGAGCTGCCCCCTATTTTCCCCACTTTCTACCTTAGTAATTCAATGCCAGCACACACAGGCATCTGGTAGTACAGTGAACCAGAAAGGAGCCTGGACCAGAAGTCGGCACAACCCATGTTCAAACCCAGCCCCAGAGCCTCCTGGACAAGTCCCATCTCTTCTGCCTGAGTTTTCTCCTCTGTGAAATGGAATCATAACAGTGCTCAGCTCCCAGGGGTGTGGACAGCATGCGATGAGATGATATTTGCAAAGTGCTCTGCAAACCTGAGCTCCGTGTGAATGCTAGCCGAGATGACAGCTCCTGTTTCTGTGGCGCATTGGGGTCTCCCGCCCCTTCCTCCCAGCACATCTTCCACGATCATCACCGTGGGCACTCTCACGGCCACCCTGCCCTAGCCCCGGGAGGGCTCCTTAGGGACGCACCTTTGCTGACGGGCAGCCAGCGACACCTGGGCTTTGTCCTCTGGGAGAGACCTCAGAGGCTGTGTACCCCTGCCCCCCTCCCCCATTTTACAGAGGAGGAAGTGGAGGCTGGAGTGGGGCACCTGTTCAGGGTCACAAAGGTAGCAGGGGAAGAGCCAGGGCCTCAGACTCCCCGTCAAAGAGGAGCAAAGGGAGCGGGTGGGCGCGGGGAAAGGTCGCCACTTGGAGTGTCCCGAGCCTCGGGTCGTGGGGGATGTCCGTCTGCCCGGGGCTGCCTTGCTCTGCCCCAGCTTTCCTCCCTCGGGTTGGGGGTCCTTCATTCCCGCCTTCATACGCACCTCTCCGCCCCCACCCCACATCAGAAGCCCCTCCCTTGCCCCGGCTGCTCTCCGATCTGTGTGCCAACCGCTCCCTTAGATGGTAAGCTCCTGGAGGGCAGGGCCTCCCTCTGGCCTCTTTGCTTCCTGGCACTCAGCACAATGACTGGCACACAGTAGGCACTCTGTCAGTGAGTGCTGCCCCGGAGGACCATGAGTAAAGGCTTTGGAGTGTGGATCCAGAAGGCCCTGCTGAGGAGATGGTCAGGACCTGGGGGGCCTCACCACTCTTCGAGAGCCAAGGCTCCACTTCTACAGTAACGGGCTGGAGGAGACCCAGTGTGTCACCCAGAGCTACAGATGAGCAAACCGAGGCCTGGGGGAGGGGGACCAAGCTGCCCAGTCCACTGGGGGGGGGACAGCCTGGCCCAGATGCCAATCCTGCTCTCTCCACCTTCTCCCTCCCTTCAGAAAGCCCCACAGGACCTCTGGGCGCCGGGGGCGGCCACTTTGGGGAATCCTAGCTTTGAGGAGCCGCGGGACCTCCGAGTGTCCCAGGGAAGGAGCGTTCCCAACACCTGGCTCCTCGTGGCGGAGGCCACGTGCGTCCTAGTCACTCTACAGCCCGCCTGCCTCACACTGGCTCCTCTCTAGACACGCCAAGCTGACCTCTCTGGGGTCTCCTCCTCCCGGCCCCCAGTCCTGGTCTTGGTCTGGTCCTCCCCCTGCACTCCTCTGACTGTGGTCCACACAACCCACGGACCCCTACGGATGTCAAAACCCACCAACCCCCACAGGGCTCTAGTGGCGGTGGCTTGTCACTGACCACCTCCCTACGGCAGATCGGACTGAGAGCCCCACCCTCACTGCCCCGTCTCACCAGACCTTCAGTGCCCTCCCGTCCGGCTGGGCCCTTCCAGGGAGCATCCTTAGGTCTGGGTCAGCACCAGGAGGACAGCCTGGCCACCCCTGCAGCATGGGCCGGCCGCTCTATTCCAACCTCTCGGGCCACAGGGTTTGGTCCGGCAGATGGCTGGGCGCGGGACCACACCGGGCCCTTCCCGGGAGTCTCCAGAGAGCTCACCTCCCTGCAGCAGGGAGGTCCCACTTCCCAGAGCCCTCTGGTTCTCTGTCTGGGCTCAGCCTGGCTTCTTCCTGCCTCACAGCACTGACCCTCGCCCAGCCCTTGTCACGGGGGTCCCCACGTGCCCCTAACTCCTCTACCACAGCCTTTCCTCGGGCCACTTACACCGAGGCGTCAAAAAGGATGTCAGAAGGGCCCCCCCCAGCATACCCCCTGGTCTGGCTTTCCCTCCCTGTACCCGCCACAAGCTGACCAGGAGCCACAAAATCCTCTGCGGACAGCAAGTAAGAAAATTCCTTTACTCTGGACTTTGGCATGGGGCAGGTTTCACTGCTCAGTCCGGCTGCTGACGTCCCCCAAGTCGCAGTGAGGTGACCCATCGGGGCCGAGGCCCCCCAGGATCGCCGGCAGGCTGCACTCGAGAAGCGGGGCGGCCACCGCTCGGGCCAAGGGTCACGGGAAGGGGGAGAGCCACGGACCCCAAGACCCCGCCGAGGCTCTGCGTCATTCTGAAAGGTTTTATTGCCGGTACGTGGGCGGGCCTCATCTGGGCAGGGGGCTCCGCTGGCTTCCATCTGCCCTGCCGATGGCCGTGAGGGGTGGTCAGCAGGGGAGGGGCCGCTGCCCCTCAGGAGGGCCTGAGCAGTCTCTCCAAAAGCACCAGCTTGGTCTTCAAGTTCAGGTCGAAGGGAGGTAGTTTGGTGAGGTTGAGCTTGACGCCCGTGGTGCCCGCGATGTTGGCCAGCACGCGGTGGGTCTTCTGGTAGAGGGACAGCTGCACGGGGTCCATCTCCAGGAGCAGGTGCGTGTAGGACATCATGGGCCCCGCCCCGGGCGTCAAGCCTTCTCTCTTGTCGTACCTGGGAGAGAGTGCCGAGGAGGAGCCCCTCAGATGACCCGCCCTCCCCCCACCCCCCACAACCGCAGTCGGCTCTTTAAACAGCCACGAGTTACTTGTAAAATGGAACTCTGATGAACAGAGGTCACATGCTACAGCAGAGCCAGGGACCGGCGTTCGAATCCCAGCTCTGCCTTCCGCCCTGGCCTGCGCACCCGACCCCACGACCCCTGGCGGCATACGTACTTCCAGTCGTCATTGACCTGTAAGAAGCGAGAGACGCCTGTCTGCGCCGCGGCCACGTCGATGTGAAGCGCCACATCTAGGAAGAAACGGGAGGGGCGGTGGGCGAGAGCGCATCGCGGCCGAGCCGTCGCCCCGCCCCAGCGTCTCCTCCGTGCCGAGGACCCACGCACCTGTTTTGGGGGGCACCAACTCGTGGAGTTTCTGTATGGCCACCCCCCCCGGGTAGTTAAAGTGGGAGACGTAGAGCGACGTTGCCGAGTAGGCGGCATTGACCACGAGATGAGCCAGGACCAGGAGGGAGCCGAGCTTGTACAGCCAAGACTTCCGGGAGTTGTTCAGCCTGAAGGAGCAGGCACCAGGTGAACAGACCGCAGGCGTGGCAGGGGCGTGGCAAGACAAAAACTAGAGGACAGGCTCCCACCTCAAATCTTTCTGCCAAGTGAGAACGACGCACCCACTTCCACTCGGGAGGCCAGCTCCTCCTTCCCAGACTCCATTCCCCATCTGCCCTGCACTGGGGCACATCTGCCTCTGGGGAACCGCCTCTGATGGATAAGCCTGGCTTCTGGGGGGGGGGCTCTGCTCCTGGGGTGCCCAGGGCATGGCAGGGCAGGGACATCTCACCCTGTAGGTTCTGGTGGCTGCCAGCGCTCTGGAGAACCTCCCAGACCCCTCCTGGACCCCCACAATCCCCCGAGGCCCGAGGGGAGAGAGACAGTCTTAGAAAGATGGGGGAGGGGCCGGCTCAGAAAATGGGCATGACACGTGCACAGAAAATCAGTACCTGTGCAAACTCAAGAAATGGTCTTAGTTACAACCGAGCAGCGCCCTCAGAGCAAAGGGGCGCCAGAATTACACAAATCCTTCAGGAGGGCTCCAGGCAGACCTGGAACCCAATTAGGTGACTAAGAAGTCACAGGCATCCGGGCGCCTCCAGAGTCCCCGCTGGCAGAGACGCCCAGGCCGCCATTTTTCTTTTTGACACGCCTCTCGGGGCGAAGGCCGCCACTACGGCCAGGACCACGCGCCCCGGGACCCACCTGAGGCTCCTCCCGAGCCGCGGCCGGCCGAGCCCAGGAGGGGAGCAGCCTTTGGCGCACACTCACATGCGGGAACAGCCTTTGGCGGCCACGATGTTCAAGACGGGGAAGGTGTACATGATGAAGCGCAGCTCCTTGTGAGGGAGGAATGAGTAGAGGAAGATGAAGCCCAGCGCAGGCAGGATCAGCGCCCGCGTGCGGCGATCCCACAGGCCCAGCGGCACGAAGAGAAGGCTGCAGCCCAAGGCCCGGGGCAGGGCCGAGTAGAAGTACCATAGGAAGGGCGCGGTCTGCGGGGTGGGGGCCAGTCAAGGAGAGAGGCCGGATCGCCGAAGGGGCACCCCGGCTCCACCCCCACAGCAGGACCCCCGGGCGCCCAGGGCCACAGCACTGCCTTTCTAATGGGGAGCTCTCTCCCTCCTGTCTGACCCAGCTGTTTGTGCCGGGAGCGGGGCAGCTGGGGCATGCCAGCAGGCCCCTCCCATGTAGACCACATCCCTGGGGGTCTGAGGGATAAGGCCGTGGGCATCCTACCCACCAGCTGGGCAGCCGTGGCCCTTCCTGACCCCACAGGCTTAAAGGATACACCCCAGTCCGAACTTTTATTCAGAATCGTGTTGTACCAAAGCACTTGACCCTCTGGCCATAAAACATGGCGCCAGAACACGGAATCCACGGCGACCGTCAGTCCTAGGAGAGGAGAGAGACCCGTCTTCAGTTATGAAATCGGCCGCAGCCTCCGGGAGCCCCCAACGGTCCAATTCCTTCACGCACTGACGAAGCTCTTAGGCTGCCTACAAAGGCACGAGGGGTACCAGGACGAAGGAAAAACTGCCCTGCCCCCAAGAGGCTTACACTCTACTCAGCGACGCAACACGTGTGCAGATAAACTGATTTAACTTGGGGACAGAAAGCCAGCCAGGACAGTCCAGGCAGGCAGGAACGCCTGGGAACAGACCGGGGCCCGAGATGGCCCCAAGAAGCGAAGGGACGCCTGGGCACGTGGAGGCCAGGCCCGCAAGCAAGGTCTCATCCTGCCCCAAGGAGGACCCCTAAGGCTTGTGAGCAGGGGCAACCACGAGGGATTGAGTGGGATTCTTCTGAGAGCCGTGGGGGAAGAGGGCGTAGAGAGGGGGCCGAGAATGAGGTGACTGTGATGCTTTGGAGGGGGCAAAGAAGGCACGGAGGAGAGCCACTGTGAGACCTAACGAGGCATAGCCACTGTCCAGATGCCGGATGCCTGATGTGGTGTCCGAAGGCCCTCGGAGGCCAGGGAGGCCGCTCTCCAGTGGACGGAGGAAGGACGACTAAGAGGCGGGGCTTCTGTCTAGCCTGCTCAGAGACCTCCCAACTTAGCTGCTGCGAGGGAGGGTGAGCCCCAGGCACGCACACTGCCACACGCCCAGGGCTGAGATAGTCAGAGTGCCCTACTCCTCCCAACGTGCCGTGCTGGGAGGATCCCAATGTACAAGAACATAAGTGAGACTGTCGATTGTGCTCCGGGCTACGGGCTTCCTGCTTTTTCAGTATATGCTAAATTTAACGTTTAGGTTTTAAAAACCAACCCCCCACCTGCCCTGTTTGTCTGTGTCCTCTTCAGACCCTTTTGCTTTCCTGGGCGTGTTTAAATGTTTCTCATGACTTTTTCCTTTCTTTTCTCAATGTCTCCATCCCCATTGACCCTTCACCCCTGGGCCACCAAGCACTGGACCCACTGGCTATGTCTGTGGTGGTGGCAGGGGAAAAGTTCAAGGACAGACACTGACACCCCCCCCCCGCCCATCATTACAGGACCAAGGGACTGGGGCACTCACCCAAGCAGACGATGCCGGCGGGAATGGCGTGACCCAGCACCTTCAGGAGCGTGACCTTCCTACTTAACAAGGTCAGCAGCAGCATGAGGCCGAGGAAGACACACAGCTCTGACCTGAAGACGATGATGGCGAACGCTGAGAGCCAGATGAAGAGCGCGCGCTTCTGCTGCATCCAGGTCGTCAGGGCCAGCAGCACTGCCGAGACAGAGGGCTGCGGCTCAGCCCGGCCCGGCCCCTCCCCTGCTGCAGCACGCCAGCCTCCTGACCTGGGGGAGCCGGCCCCGGCGGCCTCGTTGACACCCAGCCACGTCCCCGGGGCCCATCGAAGCCTGGTGGCCTCCTGCGGCTGCCTGCCTCCTCCGGACCTCCCGTGCCCCCACGTACCTATGGGCAGTGCAAACACGTTGGGCAGCGTCCGCGTGCAGTAGAACATCAGGTGGAACTGCGAGGCCGTGATGAGGCAGAAGACAGTGGCCACGGTGGCGCCCAGCTGCCTGCGCACCTCCTTCTGCAGCTTCCAGAGTCCGTAGATGACACCGAGCCCCAGAATCCCTCTGACTGGGGAGAGCAGAACAATGCCCTCATCACTGGCTCGTCGGGCAGAGGACCACCCCGGCCTCAGCACCCAGAGGCTCCTGGATTCCCAACAGCAAACTGACCTCATCCTCTATGTGGTCAGGCCTGACTCTAGGAGAGTGACCTGCCTGTGGCGCTTGGCCCCGCAAAGGGAGGCCAGCGATGTGCCCAGGAAAGGGCGTCTGGCTGCCACACCAAGGGAAAGTGGCGGAGCCAGCCACCAAGCTAGGCCTCTAGGGCTCCCCCCTCGGTGCTCTGTTCACAAGGAAACCACTCCCCTCATCCCTTGTCTGTACAGACAGCTCCCAGGCAGACAAGCAGGATGGCTTGTCCCCCAGCTCAGCTACCCTCCTGTTCACCCTCTGGTGGCCAGACCTGGCTTCCAGAGGCATGGCTGAAGCAGGGCCAGGGATGGCGTGATGGCAAGAAGCTCGGGGAGAGGGGTGAGGTAAGGATCCCAAAGGTGGCCAACGGTGGCCGTCCGCACTCGCTGGGGGATGCCCCAGGGCCCTGCGTGTGTGGTTACCGGCTGGGTGCTGCCCCGGTTATCCCCTTCCCCAGATACCCGGAGTTACCCCCCACCCCCAGGAAACTCTCTCGCACACACCCGTCACCTCTAGTTTAGGCTTCTCCAACAACCGCCCCCCAGCTCGACCATCTCCCTGCCATCCACGCTTTTCTCCCAGTCCTGGCCACTGCTGAGGGTCCCCCACTGTTCCCGCTGCCACTGGAGAAAGTCTCTCCGTGCTCACACTGCACACCCCCCAACTTGCATTCACACTCGCAGCAGATACAAGCTGGCCTGCTCTACCAGCACACAGGCAACGCTCCGCACCCACAGCCCCCAACCTCTGCAAGAAAGGGAAGCCGCAGCTATACTTTCTCAGGGTTTTTGGCCCAACCTTTGGCCCGTACAACCTTCAATCTCACACTCCCCAACAAGTAACTCATTCTAACATACATACATATATAGAGATATAGATATAGATAGATAGATAGATAGATAGATAGATAGATAGATAGATAGATATAGACATATAGATATATAGATATATAGATACATGTCACATGCTCTTTTGTGACCCAGGAATACACCCGGTGTCTGGTGTTCGCGTGGCCTTTCAGGAGAGACTCTGAGCTACGCAACTAAACCTAGGTGCTATGCCAAAATCCTGCCCAAGGCCGCCTCCTCCAGGAAGCCTTCCTTCAGGTGGTTTCTCCTCCCTCTGCATCTCTGTCAGACCCTTTTCATCAGCTGCCTCACACTGTGGCTGTGAGCCCGAGATGCGCTCCCCACCCTATCACTGGGCACATGGGTGGTCTCTGCTGAAGAAGTACCCTGTAACACCAAGCAGGTGCTGGGCCGGCCCCCCCGTATGACGCCTGGAAATCTGTGGTACAACAAGATGTAACCTTCAACTCTCACCGAGGGCCACAACAGAAGCAGCGTGAATGGCCTCATGGAAGGAGCTGGGCGAGCCTGAGAGCCCCGACTGGCTGTCCACCCTGGCCCCTAGGGGCAGAATGGCTTGTGGCACCCATTTGCTGAGCCAAAATGGAGCTTTAGAAGGGGATGGGCGCATCCCAGGGGTTGTCCAGGGGACGGCACCACTGGACGCTGCTTTTCTTGGAGTTAATTTGCTTCAGGGCTCTGTTGTGGTGGTGGTGGTTTGTCCTTCCTTCTTGAAGAGGACTGTGACATCAGGGAGGTGATGTCATGACACGCAAGTGAATCGGATTTAAGTGAGGGAGGGCTGTGCAAAGTCACCAGCCTCAGTTTCTCCTCTGGAGCCTCAGGGTCCAGTGGCAAGACATAGATCAGGACTGGAGATGGCCCAGATGCAGTGGGGGGACCTTGGCCTTTTTAAGCTAAGGTCTTTCCTAGGTCTCAATTTGACTGAGGCAGCGCCCATTCAGTGATTAAGGCTAGGTAAGAAAGGAGGCAAAGAATGACCCCTTTTACCTAATAAAAAAAAAAAAACAGTTTGGGAGGGGAAGACCCTCAGGGTTTCTGGCCAAAACAGAAACAACTGCCATTTCCACTCCCTCTGAACCCAAACAATGACCAGGTGAGGCCTGGGCTGGGAGCCAGAGTCCGATTCTGACCCTAAACGCCTTGAACCCAAATCCCTCTGGTTCTCTGCAATGCTTTAGACTGTAGGGGTGCCAGGATGCCCACAGCACTGGGCTCAAGCGGCATCAGAGGGAGAGTCTCCGAGCTGATTCTGAAGCTACAGGCCTGCCCAGGGTCAGAATCCTCGCTCTGCTGGCCAAGCCTCAGCCCCCTCACAGGTATGATGAAGGGCCGGACCACTGGGGACTCTTCCAAGACCTGACACTGTGACTGTTTCTACAGCAGAAGTAGTGAGAGTTGCAAAGAGCCTGCGGACACCTGAGGATGAAAGGGAGAAGGCGACCCAGCCTGACCCCGGGTCAGCAATCACAGCTCGCTCTGAGGCTGTGGGATGGACTGCCCTGAGGACGGAGCGGCCCTCAGGAGTCTACCTGTTGGGGGGTTCTGGAAGGTTGGCCGCCAGTCTGCAGGCGCCACACAGGCCTCACGCAAACGCAGCAACACTCCCAAGAGGCAGAAGCCAGGCATCCCAAATTGTGAATGGAAGAGCCTAGTCTTATGCCGCTCTCTCAAGTGACCTCGCAGGGCTGCCCGCCTGGGACAAAATGGGGCTGGGGACAGCCCACAGCGCAGACAAGACTGACTGGCAAAGATCTCTTTATAACAGGGATTTATTGCACCTAGGGAAATTCACTTTTTTGGGAAGTGAAAAAAGGCTGAATGGAATGTCCATTGTGAGGAGGGAAGCCCTCAAAGATGACCTCACATAATCCCCTCACTTTACAGGGCCAGCGGGTTGGGGGGGTTCCTTAACATAGAGATTCTAAACTTCCTGAGCTGCAAGACTCGCCAGGGTATGTAGTTGGCACCAGGACTTTGGGGGACCCCAGACCCGAGGGGTCTTCCTTCCGAGCTCCCTCGCAGGGGGCCTGTCGAACCTCTTGAGGCTGTCTGAGAGGTCTCCCCACTACGCTTCCTTCCAAGCTGCCTTAGAGCCCATCTGGGGAATGTCTTGTCAAAAGGTAAGCAGGAGCAGAGAACCAAGGAATTCGAACCCTTGGTCCAAGTCATTAATCAGGGAGGCCACGGCAACAAAGCACTTCACAGGGTGCCAAGGCTGGTCTATCCACCACAAAGGGCAGACCCCACTAGAGCAAGACACAGCCAGCTTCGGCTGGCTCCCTCCCCAGCCCATTCACCAATGCGTGCCATAAAGCCACACACTCGGTTCAGCAGTGCCCTCTCTCTGCTCAGAGAAATGGCAGCCTGGCCACAGGAGCCCCCTTCCCCTGTCGGCCAGTCAGGAGATGCCGCCGCTGCTGCTGGGAGCATGCACGGAGTAGATAAGCAGTGAGCTGGCTCCCGACCACCCTTTGTTCACACCGGGCAGCAGCTGGCTTTTCTAGCGCACGGGCGGGGGCTCAGATTCCAAGGGAAGGGAGTTTCTGCGGTGGGAGGACAGCTCCTCCTGTACCTTCAAGCCTCCTTACCTATCAGCTGAGAATAAAATTTGGACATTTCCAGCATGGACAGCACATAGATCACAGGGCTGGAAAAGGCTGCGATTAAGATCGGCCCAAGAAACGTTCTTGGGACGACTCCGGGAAACTCGTGGTGATCGTACTACAAAGAAAGGGGACACGGTTACCAAGCAGAGCATTCGCATGGGGCGTCACCACAGGCGTCGGGGGCTCCCTCCTCCCCGGCAGCCCACTCGCCTTGTCCAGGTCCCAGCGGTGATAGAGCAGGTCGTGGATGGCCTGAAGGTTGAAGCTCTCCTCCACCTTGGCGTAGGGACAGGCGGCCAGGTGGATGAAGGCCACGGCAACGAACAGCAGGAGCAGAAGCGGCTGCCGCCTGGCTTGTCTCTTCGTGGCCATGGTGGCCCCTTCTGGGTGCCCAGCTCTGCCCTTTGAGGCTTGAGGAAGGAGGGGAGAAAAGGCCCTGTTTCGGGAAAACACCAAAGAAAAAACTCTAAAAACCAGGGTGCGGTACAAACTCCCTCATCCTGGCTGCCGACCTGAGGCACCGGGAGAGAAACTTCAACCTCTAAACCTGAGATTCAGGCCTCTGAGCAAGCAGAACACACACATTAATGAAGTCCCAGCCCACAGCGCGTCCCGAACACCGCTCAGAAGATGCTCGCTCCTCGGCTGTTGCTGGCCCACGGTCCACTCTGGACGCTTTACACCAGAAGCCAGAGACCTCACCTGAGGTGACGAGGACAGCATGAGGGCGTGCAGGGAACAGCGGCAGCTCTCGATCTCAGACCCAAACAGCCAGTGTGGCTCAAAGCCCACAGCCACACACCTGACGAGATCCCAGAGGTGACGCAGGCACACGCTAGGGAAAGGACAAGGACTCACCGACGCACTCAGTGGCCTACGATGAAGACCAGCTCCTTCCCTCCTGCTCTGGTCATCAGATGGAGGTTAGCAGAAACGGGAACAGGCCAGTACTTCCCTCCGTCTCCTGCAGAATCCTGCTTTTTGGGAGGAAAGCATCCTGTGAGTGCTTCCCCTCTTCCCTGGCCAGCTCTACTCACCTGCCCCACACTCAGGGCCCGGTTTCCCACCCCAAGGGCACTCAAAGGAGGACAAAAACAGCTGGCTGAGTCCAGAGGAAGTTCCATCTCCCTGACCACAAGTGACACACGGCTCCAGGGACCAGAGCCTGCCCATCCAATGGCCTCCAAGAGCTGGAGGCCTCGGGTGGAAGGCAGAGAAAAGCTCGAATCTCCCTCTCTCCAAGAGTGTCTTGGGGGACGTTCCGCACTGGCCACTTCTGTCCTTCTGCCCCCTCAGCCCAACGAGGAGACCTTCCATTTGTGAACTCAACTTTCAGGAATCGAGCGGCACACCCTGCCACCGGGGGAGAGTTTAAGGTGGCTCCACAGAGGGAGGGTCTTTGTGGACAGACTGTGGCCCTTTGCACACTCCTGCCACTGCTGTGATTACCCACAGATGAAAATAACGTCAGAGAAATAGGACTGGAGATCAGAGGGACTTTGTCACCCCTCTGGCTTATCTGAGGAATGATGAGCTGATTCTGACCCCAGAGCCTGTTTCAGTACAAGATGAGGAGAAAAACCAAGGGCACATTGCTACATGGTGAATACCATCTTAAGAATCACACAGCTCAGGGGGCAGCAAGGTGGTACCGTGGATAGAGCACGGGCCCTGAAGTCAGGAAGACCTGAGTTCAAATCCGACCTCAGACCAAACACTGGACACTTACTAGCTGTGTGACCCTGGGCAAGTCACTTAACCCCAATTGCCCAAAAAATAAACAAATAAATAAATAAGAATCACACAGTTCAGGCGCAGCTAGGTGGTGCAGTGGATAGAGCATCAGCCCTGAAGTCAGGAGGACTTGAGTTCAAATCCGGCACCAAACACTTGACACACTTACTAGTTATGTGACCCTGGGCAAGTCACTTAACCCCAGTTGCCTAAAAAATCAAAACAAAACAAAACAAAAGAATCACACAGTTCTTTTCCACCAAATGGAAAGAAATTCCTCAGTATCTAAAGCCCTTTAGACTCAAATACCAGGGGGGCAGTACGCAGCACCATCTTGAAGTATTTTTCTTGGGGATAGGGCTTTGGTGGGAGAGACAACGAAAAACAAAGGGCCAGCACAGGGAAATGTGAACTGAGCACTGAGACACATGCTTGTGAAAAGCCTGGATGCACAATTAAGATGGGATATGCTACGGTCACCTTGTTAAAACGTTAAAATGATGAAACCCACACTGATACAATGCCCTTCCTAACTGTCCCAAGAAGTGGACAATGTAAATATTATTAGCTCTGTTTTACAGACAATGAAACTGAGGATCAAGAGGTCAAGTGACTTGCCTGGTCACACAGCTAGTGAATAACACAGCCAGGACTTGAACCCAAATCTTCCAACCCTGAGCTGAGTATTTGTTTCACTCTGCCAAGCTGCAAGAAAAAAAGGGGAAGCCATTCCACAGCTTGTCACGAACATAGCTAAAGTCTTCCCTACCCCAGTTAGAATCCTCCCAAATGGCTGGGTCTGGGGCCAACAATGCAGAAATGGGATCACAGGATGTGGAGGCAATCTCTGGAAAACTATGGCAATCAGGAGGAGAACCAGATGATGGGAGAAGAGTCAAAGAAGGTAGGTCCTGGTTACTACAAATTTTAAGTCTGCAGGCGTTCCCTGGGGCAACTCTGAGGTGGATCACTAAATACTGAGTGCTTAAAAAATTAAAGAGGGAGCCCTCAGAGGTAAGCATGGCTATCTTAAGAATAAGTCATGGCAACGTATTCTTGCTTTTTTTTTACTTTTTTAAGTTAGTTAAAAGACTCTGGTGCCAAGGCTTGTCTATTTCACTCTGCAGCATCTCTTGTCCATTTCACCTACAAAGCATCTCTCTTGTCCATTTCTCCCAAGAAAGCCTCTGTCCATTTCACCTCTTCAGCATCTTCTGTCAATTTCACTCTTCAGCATCTCTCTTGTCCATTTCACCTGGAAAACTTCTGTCCATTTCACTTCTGCAGCCCCTCCGGTCCATTTCACACCCCCCCCCTTCCATTTCACCTCTACAGAATCTCATCCATTTCACCTGGGTACATCTCTCTTCAATTTCACCTCTGCTTCATCTCCCCAATGTGCCCCCCCTTTCTCCTCTGATCCTGCCCCCAAATCTGGTGGTGGTGGCCTTCATCACCTCACACCTGGACTATTGCAATAGCTGCTGAGAGGTCTGCCTAGCACCAGTCTCTCCCCACTCCAGTATACTGTTCAATCAGCCAGTAAAGTGATTTTTCTAAAGCACGGGTCTGACCATGTCACCCCCTACTTAACTCCAGTAGCTCCTTTTTGCCTCCAGGATCAAATACAAAATCCTCTGTCATTCAAAGCCCTTCATAACTTGCCCCCTCCTACCTCTCCAGTCTTCTTACACCTCACTCCCTACCATATGCTCTTCAATGCAGGGACACTGGTCTTCTGGCTGCATCCATCTCTGGGCATCTTCTCTGGCCATCCTCCATGTCTGGAATGCTTTCCCTCCTCTATTCCCACTACTGATCTCCCTGGCTTCCTTCAAGATCCAACTAAAACCCCGACTTTTGTGGGAAGCCTTCCCCATATGCCTCCTCTGTGGATTATCTCCAATTCATACTGTCCAGAGCTTGTTTGTATGTAGCTGCTTAGGGCAGGGACCGTTTTTTTTTAAATTTTCACTTTCTTTGCATCTCCAACGCTTGTCAACTGACTGAGCCACTTGCTGGAGACCGGAAGGACGGCAAACTAAGATATAACTATGGGATTGCAGTAGCACTCTTACAAAAGCCTTAAAAGTCCACCGGCACTGGGCAAACAAGTTGATTTTCAAAATAATGAAAAAAATAAAATTCTAAAAAGCGCTCTCAATTTCAAAACATTAACATGTGCGAGGAGCCCTTTAAAAACCCTCGAGCTTACTCGCGGTAAATGGGAACAAAAACTTGCAGAGGTAACCTCCGGCCATCTCCTTCTTCATCTGTAAAATGGGGAGAATTATCTTCACTGTGGAAAAGACCCCAGGCTCGGGGTAGGGGCCTCTTCCTAGGTCGGCACAGCCAGGGGCTCCTCCCCCACCAATGACCAGGGAGTGAGCTCCCCGTCACCAGAAGCCTGACCCCAGGGTCACGGAGGCCACCTGGGCTGGGGGCGAGAGGTTCCAGTCCCGCCACCGCTCCCTGCCTCAGTTTCCCCTCACTGTAAAACGGGGGTCACAACAGCCGCGCCACGGACCCGAAGAGTTAACGCGCGGAACCCGCTCCGATAACGCACAGCCGACAACGGCGTGGGCCCCATCGCTACGTGGGCCCGGGGTGGGGGGCGCGGCGCCTTTGCCCGGGCCGTGCTCCCACCACGGATGCCTTCCCAGTCCGCCTGGCCCGCCATGTGTCAGCCCCGGGGCCCTCCCGCCTGCAGGCCCCGCCCGGGAAAAGCCAAACCTCACTCGGCTCGGCTCCGTCCCTCGCCCCGGCTTCGGCTCCTGCCTCCGCGGACTGAATCACTCTCTCCCTGTAGCGCTCTTTCGCGCTCGTCGCGTCCCGCTGGCGTGGCGTGGCGTGGCGTGGCGTGGCGTGGCGCGGCGCGGCGTGGCGTGGCACGGCGCACGCGCATTCAGCGACTAACGGTCGCTGAGCGGTTCCCGAGGGGCGGGGTGCCTCGAGCGTGGAGAGGTCAGGGTTGGGGGGGGAGGGGAGACCCGCGGCGTCTGGCCCTTTAAGGGCCGAGGGAGATGCAGCCCGCACCAAATATGGCCGCCGCACGGACGGGAAGCCGCAGCCTCTGCCCCTAGTCAAGATGGCCACCCACTATGACTTAACTCCAGGAGAGAGGCGGGTCTGGTTTCGGGGCTCCAGTGCCGGCTTTGTGCTGACACGGGCCTATCTCATTGGCCCAAACTCGTTGGCGAGGTCTGATTCGTTCACGTACTCTCAGCGCGGAGGTTTCTTGTCCAATGACGATCCGAGGGCTGGCAAGTGGGGCGGGGCTTGGCTCGTATCATCGTGAAATAGACCGGTTCCGAAGGAAGCCGGCTTCCGCGCGAAGGAGGAGGGGCCTCAGTGTTCTTCTCTGCGCCTGCGCGAGCTCGAGCTCCTGGGGCCTCGGTCCGGAGCCGGGTCCTCTCTGGGACCGGCCCAGGTGTGGAGGCGGAGCCTCCCTTGTCCGGCTCCTCCAGGATCCCGCGGACATCCGAGCCCGGCTCCACGGGATCCATCGTGCTGATCCCGGACCCCTCCTCCTTTTTCCTCCATTGATCCCGGACCCATCCTCCTTTTTCCTCCATTGATCCCGGACCCCTCCTCCTTTTTCCTCCATTGATCCCCAACCCTTCCTCTGCTACTATCTCCCCTGTCACCTTTGCTGATTCCAAACCCCTTCTCCCCCCCACTCCGTGCAGATCCCGGATCTCTCCTCCTCCCTCCCTCCCGCCCCCTCCCAGATCCCTCCTCCCTTTCTCTGCTGTCCCTGGCTGCTCCCCCAGCCGGTCCTCCCTCCTGTTCCTCTTTGGTCCTCGCTGTCTGGCCATGCTTCCTCCAGGTCCCCGGGGCCAGAGCTGGCCCCTGCCTCGGCTCCTCCTCCCGCTCCTGCTCTTGTCGTCCGAAGCCTCCCTTTCCTCCTCCTCCTCCTCCTCCTCCTCCTCCTCCTCCTCCTCCTCCTCCTCCTCCTCCTCCTCCTCGCACAGCCACAAGCCGTGCACGGTCTGCAAAAACATCGTGGATCAGTTCAACAAGGTGCGAGGCTGGGGCGGGGGGAGCCCAGAGAGGGCAAGGGGTGCCCGGGGGCGCACAGCAAGCTTGGTGCCGTCCACCGCACCAGGCGGCCGCCTCCAGGCTCCCTCGTGTCCTAGGTACCTTCTGACACTGCAGCACCTTCCCCTTCCCCGCATTGTCAGAAGTGGGAAGCAGAACCCGAGTCTCCTCCCCATGTAGGACTGTGACTCTGAGCCTCAGTGTCCTCAGCTGTCAGTTGGGGTGTTGTGCCATGCCCGTGCTGGCCTGTCCCCCATGTCGGGGATGCTCTGCGCCTTCTCCTCCCCATCTCATTTCCCTGGCTTCCTTGGAGGCTCAGCCCTCACCCAGCTGCTCCAGGAGGCCTTTCCTGGTCAGTCCCCAGCCCTGCCACCCTCTCCAGAGCTGGAATGTCCCTCTTCTAGGTCTGTGAGCGCCTGCAGGGCAGGCATGTGCATGGTAGGCGCTCAGTAAGAGCTGGTTGTCTAAGTCCCGGAATGTCAGTAGAGGGGATTCCTGTTCAGGAGCCTCGGCGGCCCCTGCCAGCTCCAAATGAAGCTAGAATCAAAGGTGGTGAAAGGTGAGAGCACGATTAACCTGAAATTCAAAGGTCTCTTTCTAGGAGAGAAGGGTAGGTTTTATCTGTAAGGTGTGTGGCCATTGAATGCCCACGGGCAGTGAGTTTTCCTGGGCGCCTGCTGCCCAGCTGGCCACAGGAAGACAAGGGAGATTCCTTCAAGTCCCCTGGAGTTTTCCAGATAAGATTCCTAGCTGAGTTGTTTCCCAGAAAAATATCATTAACTGAACAAACATTCTGTGTTTTCATTTTGGCAGGGATTGGCAAATACAGAAAAGAAGAATTTTGGTGGCGGAAATACAGCTTGGGAAGAGAAGACGCTATCCAAATATGAGTCTAGGTTTGTCATCACACAGTGGCCTGGGTCTCCGGCACCCCCAGCCCTGTAATCTCGATGGGTCAGGCATCGAGGAGGAAAGGAGAGAGAGCTGAGGGGGCCAAGCGGGGCGGGCCTGGGGGCCTCACGTAGGCCTCCATTGAGTTTCAAGGGGCCGCTCCATGGGACTTATGGAGAGATGGGGAGCAGACTTTCATGAGCCCCGGCTCCTTTCCAGTGAGGGACACTTTATTGCTGTGGCTGGTGGAGGATTCTGGTCTTTAGAGATCACCCCTTGGGAGGAGTTTGTCCCCTGCCCCAGCCTCGTTGTCATCTACACGCATACCCCACTATCTCAGGCAGGTGCTAGATGCCTTTGATTTCCTCTAGTGCTGACTTGTGGTTTTTAACGCTCCAGTGAAATCCGTCTCCTAGAAATCGTGGAAAACCTGTGTGAGAGCGATGCTTTTGATTGTAACAATATGGTGGAAAATAATGAAGAACACCTCGAAAATTGGTGGTTCAAACAGTAAGCCTGAACCTTGTTGGTGGTTTGAGGGCGGGTCCTCAGCTGGACAGAGCCGGGGAGAGGGTGCAGGTCGAGCAGTGGTGTGTGGCTGTCTTTGCATCTCCCTCCCTGGAGAATATCGCTGCTAGGACACCCTGGGACGAGGGAGGGTGGGATTCAAGTTCTCTGCCATAGAGGGTGGATGGCTGCCTAAGAAAAAAAAAATCACTGTAGGCATCATGGCCAAACAGAAAGAATTCTGAGCTGGGAGTCTAGAGAGAGCTGGGTTTGAATCCTGCCTGGGTTGTGGCTGTAGACAGGTCCTTTACATCTGGCATCCTTAGTTTTCTCATCTGTAAGATTGGGACAGTAGCACTAATTCTGCCCACCTCATTTCTGGAATCACTCTGTGCTCACCACTTATAGCTACCAGCTGTATCCAGACAGGACTGCATGTGGTTTAGAGGGTGGGGAGCAAGGAGGATGAGACTGGGGTTCAGGCCTCGGATGTTGGGGCCTATGGCAGCTGATGGTCTCCTGCCTGATATGTCCCCCGCGGGGCAGGCTCAGCCCTGGCAGCGCCAGGGTCACCTGCCACCTCACTCTGAGGGGGGCTATCCCTGCCCGGGTGTGAGGAAGCCCACCCCCCTCCCCCTAGGTTGTAGGCCCCGGCCTGACACGCTGTGTTAGAATTACATCATGCTCTGTTAAACAGAGTATTTGTTTCTTTTAGGGAACCTAGCCTGTGACCCAGGCTTAATGATAAAAACCTGCTTCTCTTTACTCAGGAAAAAGAAACATCCCGACTTATTTAGGTGGTTTTGTGTGGAAACTCTGGAAGTGTGCTGTCTTTCTGGAACCTACGGACCAGACTGCCTCGGTACGTCTCCTGGTGTTTGCCTGGGCCAAGAAGAGAGTGACCCTGAATGGTGCCTCATGCAGGTGGAGGGTCAGGTGCAGGCACCCCCAGAGCATGTGCGCACGCACACACATGTACACATACTTGTGCACGCGCACACACACACACACACACACACACACTGCCTTGCCTGGCACGCTGCAGACCCTCCATAAATCAGTGATGGATGAATGAATGAGTTGGGAAATGGCCCCTTTTTCCCTTTGCTTTGTCCACATCTCTGTGGACCTTTATGGCACCTTTGCTAAGTTAATTGGGCTTTTCTGGACTTTGGTTTACTTTAATCAATGCCAGACAGGGACATTGAGCCTTGTAGAGGTCACTCTGCCTAATGACCCTTAATCAGAGCAGATTTGAGTGGAGGTGGCCGCTAGCCAGCCCATCAGGCAGGAAGCAGTAAGCGCCTTCTGTGTGCCAGGCACTAGGTGAGGTGCTGGGAAGGCAAAGAGAAAACTGAAATGATCCTGCCCTCAGGGAGCTTATGTTCTATCTGGGGGTAGGGGATAGGGTGTACAAAAGGGAGAAAAGAGGAGAGAGAGAGAGAGGAGAGAGAGAAGGGGGAGAGAGAAGAAAGAGGAGTAGGGAGAGAGAGAGAAAGAAGGAGAAAGAAAAGAAAGAGGGGGGACAGAGAGAAGGGAGGACAGAGGGGGGGAGAGAGAGGGATTGAGGGAGGGGAGGGGAGAGGAAGGGGGGAGAGGAAGAGAGAGAGGGGACGGAGGGGAGAGAGAGAAAGAAGAAAGAAGGGGAGGAGAGAGGGATTGAGGGAGGGAGAAGGAGGGGAGGGGAGAGGAGAGGGGGAGCACTGAGGGACAGCTTCTCTGCTCAGTGAGCGCAGGGCCCTCCGTTCAGAAGACCCTGAGCTAGGGCACTCTGGCTGGATTTCAGAGGGGCCCGTGGGCTCTGCTGGCCTCTGAGCCCCGTCTGTTTCCCCTCTGACTCCAGAGTGTCCTGGGGGGTCCAAGCAGCCGTGCAGGGGAAATGGTTATTGCAACGGGGACGGGAGTCGTGTGGGGATGGCAAGTGCATGTGTCACCTCGGCTACATGGGGCCACTCTGCATGGATTGCGTCGAGGGCTATTTCAGCACCTGGAGGAACGACACCCACTCCGTCTGCACAGGTGACTTGGCCATCTGCCCCAAAGGCCTTGCAGGGGGTCTGTGGGTCTCCGGGGCCCCCAACTGTTCAGGCAGATGAGGAGGGGCCAGAAGGACCCACGCCAGGGAGGGGAAGGGAAGGGAAAACCCTTGCTCTTTTTGAGGCCTCCCGGGAAGAAGATGAGCCTGGGCTCCAGCCTGGCCCCTGAGCATACTTGTCCCCCTCTGCAGTTTCTTGAGGCCTCATCTCTTTTTTCTGGTTCTTTGACATCTTGGGTGCCCCCCAAGGAAGGGGCTCGGAGGTGTCCATGAGGACAGGACCCCATCTGCTGCCCGAGGGAATGCCAGGGAAAAACCCAGCTGTGCTCATCAGGGCCAGACTTTGAAACGTGTCTTTTCCAGTGTGTAACCCAGCCTGTAAGACGTGCTCTGGCCCGACCCATAAAGACTGCAGCGAATGTGAGGTCGGGTGGGTCCAGGAGGAAGACGCCTGTGTAGGTGAGTTGGGAGAGTGCCAGTGGGGGCGGGGAAGGAGCCTCACTTGGGTTGTGCCCAAGAGGAGACTGAGGCAGACAGCATGAAGTGACTTACCCAGGGTCATGCTGCCAATAGATAATGCTCTTGGCCTGAAGTTAGGGAAACACGAGTTTAAATCTGGCCTCAGGCACTTGCTAGCTGTGTGACCCTGGACGAGTCACTTAGCTTTGCCTACCTCAGTTTCTTCATCTGTAGAATGAGGATAATGACAACCCCTCTCTCCCAGGATCGTCATGGGGATGAAACGAGATCCTAATTGCAAAATGCTGTCTTATCGTTATCTCTCATTACTAATGAGGAGTGTCGGTCCAGATTTGAGCTCAGTCTTCCCCGATCCACGCCCAGCGCTCTCCCTGGTTGTGCCCATTTTCTGGGATGAGAAAATGAGGGTCGAGCAGTTAGGTTCCGTAGTCACTGGGCAGATCCCACTTCCTCTGATGGGGCCATGGCGAGGGGGGAGGACGCCCCCAAGCCTGGACATCTCACAAAGCCAAGCAGGCTTCCCGTGTGGCCCCGGCCCAGCCAAGGGGCTGCTGCAGGGCGATGCCAGAGACCACCTGCTCTGGTGGGCTTCTGAGGCATCCCATGCCCCTCCGAGTAGGATGCCCCGCCCTCGGGGACCTCTGTCCGGGTGCCTGCGCCCAGAGGAGGCAGGGGGGCAGGCTTGCCGGGTGTGACTTCGGCAGGCTGGGGAGGGCAGGTCCCAGGCAGGCACTGGGAAAAGTCTGGGGAGGGAGACCACGGTCCCTGGGGGTGTGACTGTGGAGGGTGGTGTAAGTGAAAGTGAGGGGAGGGGGAGGACAGAAAGTTCAGTTTGCTGTTTTTGGCCGGCACGCCAAACGGCCAAGTGAGAGACTCTGTTGTGGGTAGGCTTGAATGCCAGGGTCAGCGCTGCCTTGGCTTCCGAGGGTCTGGGGGACATGAGAGGGACTGATTGGGGAGGGGCGGCTGGGAAGGAGGCTGAGGAAATGAAGGCCCAGGCACCTGGTCGTCCGTGGGTGGCATAAGAGGGGGGTCTCTGAGGAACAGAGAGCGCCTGGCCCGCTTAATGAGTGCTTGCTGGCTGATTGCATGTTGAGTGGAGGTTCCAGCAGGCAGGGGGCGATCCCGGCCCAGAGCTCAGGGCAGGGGAGATGGAGGTTTGAGTCAGGGAAGCACAGCTTTAGAGCTGGCCTAATCCAGAGGAGGGAAACTGAGGCCCAATGCAGGAAGGCCTGGCATCACCCAGAGCCGGAATTGGAACCCAGCTCCTCTCGGTTCCACGGCTCTCTGAGGACCCAGAGACGTGCCATTTGTAGAGGCGGCACACAGCAGGCGCTTCATAAATGCGTCCCAGTTCCCTGAAGTGAGGTCGGTGCTTGGCACAAGGATGTCATTAGTTAGGGCCAGGTGCTTGAGCTGCAGAGTGGCCCGGTCCCCCGGGGGCATTCTCGGGTGGCACCGGGTGAAGGTGGGGAGAGGAAGGGCCAAGCCAGGGTAGGGGACTTGGCAGAGGGCTCTCCTCCTCCATGGCCTGGCATCTTGGGATGCCTAGGTGAGTGAAGGATGGACGTGGAGACACCGGGGGCCTGCTGGGAGGGGTCAGAGGACATGGGTTCGAATCCTGGCCCTGAGCAAACCGCACCTCTCTAGGAGAGGAGAGGGCTGACCTGCGGGACCTCCAGTGTCCCTTCTCCCTTGGAGCCCCTGCTGGGAGGATGCTGCTACTTCTGGGCTCCTTTCCACTCACATGATCGTTCTATAAACCTGTGGGTCCTCCGTCACCTTTGGCTTCTGCCTCCAGCCTGCCAGGGAGGGCAGGGAAGCTGACAGCCAGAGAAGCCCATTTTACAGACTAAGACTGAGGCTTTTCAAAGGCGAGCTGGTCCAACCTGCTCTCTTTACAGACAAGGAAACTGAGGCACAGGAAGTAAAGTGACTTGGCCAAAGTCACACTGGGAGTAAAGAGCAGAGCCAAGATTTGAATGCAGGTCCTTGGGCTCCGGTGCCTTCCACACTGTCCAGAGGGCAGCAGATTGGTAGCTGGAGGGGATAGTGGAGTCTTGGGATTGCTTAGAGAATTGACCTGGCAACTGCCCGGTGTTTCCTGTGGCGTCTGGAGTGCAAAGGGCAAAGCCTGGGGACTGTCCAGGGCACCTGCACCATCTACATGTCGTCCCAGGAATGCAGAGCCGGATGCTAGGTTTCTTGGCAGTCCCTGGGACCCACCACCTTCCTCCTAGCCCGGCCTGCTCCTGGCAGGCTCTGACCGTTAGGAAGCCCGGACCTCTGCCCTCTGGGGCTGAGAGAGCCCAGCCAGCCCTTGAGATGCTCAGGGAGAGTCGTCACGGCCCCGAGTCCTCCCTAGGCTGCTTCTCTGGTTTCCTGGCAGCCCTGCAGCCACGGCCTGGCCAGGCCAGGGTCTGGGGGCCGCTTCCCGCCTCCTTTTGGACGCTCCTGGCTGCTGGCACCCCTTGAGCTCGCTGGAGGCGAGCCAGAGCCCCCGGGACTTTCCAGATGAGCCACTGCCCACTGGGCCTTCCTCCTTCTTGGACTTCCTTCCATCCCCACTGAACACGTCCTGGGACACTCGGATGGTTTGTGGCTTGCCAGGGTCTCCGTGGCCCTCCGTTGTGTGTTCTGTCACAGCGAGCCTCCCGGCCTGGTGGTACCCACGGGTTTGAAGACAGGCACGCTCCCTCCAAGCCCCCGGCAGCCTTGAAAAGGAGAGGGGCCGCACACAGATCCCCAGACCCCGCCCCCCGGAGGGAGGTGTGAGAGTTTATGTGAGTTGCCCAAGGTCACACAGAGGGAAAAGAAGATTCCCAGACCTCCAGCCTTCATGGTGACATGGACCGTTCATGCCCCCTCTTGGGTCAGTCGTGAATCCACGTCTCTCCAACTTCCCCACGGAAATAGCACAGCATGGATACTTCCTGCAGCCCTGCCCAAATGGAGGCAAACTCCCCCCCTCCACTCCTCCCCCCCATCAAGATCAGTTTGGTCACACGGTCAAAAGAAGGAGCTGAGGCTTGTCTGGCCTGACCCCTCCTCAGCGCGGTCACGCCTGCGCTGGATGGGCGCCACCCCCTGAGTTTTCCAGATGTTCACTGGCCGCCATTCCTTCCCTTTTCAGGACTCTGGCCAGCAAGTACTGGCCCTGGAGTCAGGAGGACCTGAGTTCAAATCTGGCCTCAAGACACTTGACACTAGCTGTGTGACCCTGGGGAAGTCACCTAACCCTGAGTGCCTCACAAAAAATGGCCAGCATTCACCCTTCTCCAGCCCTGTGGTCCCTGCCCTATTCTCCATGGGCTTTCTCTTTTTTTTATTTTTTGGTTGGGCAATGGGGCACACAGCTAGTAAGTGTTATGTGTCTGAGGCCGGATTTGAACTCCTGAATCCAGGGCCGGTGCTCCATCCACTGTACCACCTAGCTGCCCCCTGACATTCTCTTTTTAAGTTTAAAATTTTTGAATTTCTACATTTACAAATGTGGGGTGTTTGGACAGACCCCCCACAAGACCATTTCCGTATACAGAGAAGAACAGAGGAGGGTCCCGGTGAAGCTTACGCACGCGGCCTTCTTTGAAAGGCGTCTAGTACAGCGCATTACTTGTCACCGATGGGGGCTCCGCAGTCACATGCAGTTGTGCTCTCCGTGCCCGAGGACGTGGTGCCTCTGGGCCGAGGACTTATCGGGGCAGTCAGCTGCCGGCCTACGTGCAGCACAGAGATTCATTTTGCTCTCCTTGGCCCGAAAACGAGGAGGGTGGGCACACCTCAGCTGGATGAGAGGGAACGCTTGCCAACAGTTGGAAGGGGCTGCTGTTACAGGTAGTGAGCTCCCCGTCACAGGAGGTGTTCAAGCACAGATTAGAGGAGCCTTTGTTGGAACAATGGAGAAGAGATTCTTGCTCCGTGGGGCTTGGTCTGGGTTACCACTTTGAGGTTACATGGGGCTGGGTCCCTCCCTGCTGCTGGCTGGGCAGTGACCCAGGATGTGGCCAGGGATGGGGGGTAGGGGAGCTGGAGGAGTGTACACCTTTGCCCTTTTAGGTTTCCGAAGCACTTCCTGTCCCTTATCTCATTGGAATCTGACAACAGTGCTGGGGGGGGGTGCTTTTATCCTCATGCCTGTTTTACAGAGGGGGAAACTGAGTCTGGAAGAGGTAGAGTCATGGTCCTAAGTCCCCCCGTGAGAGGGGTCTGAGCTGGCAGGACATGGTGCCTTGTGGTTCCTAGCAGAACTGGGCTGAGAACCTAAGCTTCCTGCTAGGCTGCCTTCCTTCCCCTTTGGGGGCCCCAAGTCACTGGGGATGACAAGTGTGTGGCATGTGACCTGGCCAGGACCCACAGGGCAGGCACCCTCAGGCAGGGGACTAAATGAGCCCCAAACCTGCTCCCAGCCCCCAGAAGCCCTCAGCTGCCCCAGTGACTTCCAGCAACATGGCCCCTGCTGTTACAGACACCCGTGGGTGTGAAAGGAGCCGGTGTGGAGGATCAGGGGGTCACCTCGGGAGCCCGGAGGGCTGGGAGCTGGGCCCTGGGCCATGGGAGGCCAGGCTGCAGCCTTGTGGAGAGCACAGGGGAGGCCAGGTCTCTGGTCACAAATTCCCCCGGGTGTGAAAGGAACCGGTGTGGAGGATCAGGGGGTCACCTCGGGAATCCGGAGGGCTTGGGATCTGGGTCCTGGGCCACGGGAGGCCAGGCTGCAGCCTTCTGGAGAACTCTGGGGAGGCCAGGCCTGGTCACAGACTCCCCCGGGTGTGAAAGGAGCCGGTGTGGAGGATCTGGGGGTCACCTCAGGAGCCCGGAGGGCTGGGAGCTGGGCCCTGGGCCATGGGAGGCCAGGCTGCAGCATTGTGGAGAGCTCAGGGGAGGCCAGGTCTCTGGTCACAGACTCCCCCGGGTGTGAAAGGAGCCGGTGTGGAGGATCTGGGGGTCACCTCGGGAGTCCGGAGGGCTGGGAGCTGGGTCCCAGGCCACGGGAGGCCAGGCTGCAGCCTCGTGGAGAGTGCCGGGGAGGCCAGGCCTGGTCACAGACTCCCCTGGGTGTGAAAGGAGCCGGTGTGGAGGATCTGGGGGTCACCTCAGGAGTCCGGAGGGCTGGGAGCTGGGTCCCAGGCCACGGGAGGCCAGGCTGCAGCGTTGTGGAGAGCTCAGGGGAGGCCAGGTCTCTGGTCACAGACTCCCCCGGGTGTGAAAGGAGCTGGTGTGGAGGATCTGGGGGTCACCTCGGGAGCCCGGAGGGCTGGGAGCTGGGCCCTGGGCCATGGGAGGCCAGGCTGCAGCATTGTGGAGAGCGCAGGGGAGGCCAGGTCTCTGGTCACAGACTCCCCCGGGTGTGAAAGGAGCCGGTGTGGAGGATCTGGGGGTCACCTCGGGAGTCCGGAGGGCTGGGAGCTGGGTCCCAGGCCACAGGAGGCCAGGCTGCAGCCTCGTGGAGAGTGCCGGGGAGGCCAGGCCTGGTCACAGACTCTCCGTCTTGTTTCAGATGTGGATGAGTGTGCAGCAGAGACCCCTGCTTGTGACGAGGGCTTCTATTGTCTCAACAACAACGGCTCCTTCTTCTGCAAAGGTTCACCTTCCCTCCGGGTCTCAGTGGTCATTGCACGAGCAGGGGGCCCTCCTGGGGCCATCAGGCTCAGGTTCCCGTCCTTGGGCGTTTCTGCCTCACGCCCACAGAACAAGGATGGAAACGTGACAGGACAGAATCCAGGCAGTGCCCGGGGGCTGGGGGCAAAGGGGTGGGCTCCCACGTAGGAAGTGAGGCGGACAAGCTTTATAGGAAGGCTAAATGGAGGAGGAGGCTTTGACAGCCTGCCACCTGACATGCTCAGGTGCTTTACGTGAATCAAAAACACCCTCCCCCAAAAAACCCCACCCAAACTTCTAAAAAGGGTGCACTGTTTAGAATTCAGGAAATAGGGGTTCAGAGTCCTGAGAGAAGACTGGCCGATGGCTGCCCAGGTGAGAGGAGTGACTGGTCTCAGTTGGCCTTTTCTGGTTGGAGGGGACCTCAGCCTTCACTGGGACTTGCCCGTGAACCCCAAGGTACAGAGCCAAGACTCGAACCCAGGCCCTCGGACCCCAAAACCAACATTGGCCTGTGCTGCCCCTCACTTGCCTCAAGGGTGAGCTCCCAGGTTATCAGGCCCTGAGATCGGGCACCAGCGTCCCTGAATGTTGGGCCTTTGCTTTGTCCTTAGAGTGTGACCCCAGTTGCGCAGGGTGTGTGGGAGAGGGTCCAGGACACTGTACAGGCTGCACGGCTGGTTACGCACAGGAAGATGGCGCGTGTCGAGGTCAGTGAGCGGAGTCCCTGCCCCTGTGTGGGCCTCTGCCTCGGGGTCACCCGTGACGGTCACCGCCTCCTCAGCAGCCGCTGGGACAGGCGGACCTGCCACCCATCGTGATCGAAAAGAAAAAAAAAGCCTTTATATCCCAGCGTCCTCCTGCCCTCCTCCCTCCCCCTTGACAAAGCAGAGCCATTAAGCGGAGCGTTCAGCAGCAGGTATACGCTTCTCTGTCCCGGGAGCCCCCCGCCTCTTGTGGGCTTCATCCTCCCTTTGCGGGACCTTAGATGATCTTCCCATTAGGCAAGGCCAGCCTCCCTAGAGTGCTCTGGTCACTTAGATGGTCTCTCATCACCGTGCGTCGTCCTCTGGGCTCTGGTTACTCAACACCGTTGTGGAGTCCGTGGTGAAGGTCGCGTGTGTTGTGTGACGAAAACCAGCCCGACACCGTCCCTGTCAAGTCCTCAGGGTCCCCCAGCCCCCCACCCTACCCCCACAATCCCCTCCTCCTTCCTCGGGGCCCATGGGGGCTGCCATCTGTCATGAAGCTGACACGCGTGGTCCCGAGTGCTGCCCTTTGGCAATCAGCGCACGGCAAGGCCCCGGTGACGGTGCTGGCTTGGCTTTTCTCCATCCGTAAACCACGGGGAGTCGTTAAGCCCATCTTCTTGTTATCAGACCTGTGGTTCTGTCGGTATTGGGAACTCCCAGTGAGCAAGTTCCTTCTCTGAACTTGGACCCAGAGAGCTGTCCAGAGTTCCACAGTCAGGATATGTTAGAGGCTGGATTGGAACCCAGGGCTTGAGGCCAGCTCTGACCACTAAGCCACGCTGGCTCTTGGCCTGTTTTTTTAACATGGAATCCAGCGTTGGCTGTCCTGACTGCCTTCCTATCATCCGCTTACCTTCGGCTGTGGGGTGGCCCCTCCGCTCCTTCTCTTCCCCCTCCATGGGTCTGAGCCCCCATGCTGAGCTCACAAGAAGGAGCAGAGAAGCCTCAGCCTCCCTCCTACCCCACCCCCCAAGCTGGTGCCCCCTTCCCTGGGGGAGCAGTGGTTTCCATGCCAGCGGCCGGGGCCCTGGGGCTGGGGCAGGGCAGGATGCCGGCTCCCTGTTAACTGGGCATGTGGGCATCTCATCTGTAGATGTAGATGAATGCTCCCTCCCGGAGAAGGCGTGTCCCCAAGAGCACCAGAAATGCTTCAATACCCGGGGCAGCTACACCTGTGCCTGTGCCGAAGGCTTCCAGGAGAGAGATGGCACCTGTGTGCCCACCGAGGACACCCGAGGTGAGGAGCGGCGCTGCCCAGACGCGGCTTCCCTTTGCATCCCTCCCGCCGCTGTCTCTCCCATCAAGGACTCCAGGGGACAGGCTGCTTTGTCTCTCTGGGCACCCGATGGCCTGCAGGAAATTTAACAAGTGTGGTCCTTGTTCAGAAATGGGGAGAATCTGAGCCCAGGGTCAAGGAGGAGGAAGGGAAGCTCTCCTGTGCCTGAGTGCTGGGACAGCCGTGGAGAGTGGGTGTGGGAAGGAGAGAAAAGGAGCCAGGGCGGATGCCCCCCTCTGTGGCCTGTGGCCCTGACCTTCTCCCTATCACCTGCACGATAACCAGTCCTACGGGAGGGCCCGCCTGTGGGGCACCACAGAGGGGCCACAGAGGATGGGCCCCTCCCTCAGGGAGGTTCAGGAGATAGACTCAGGTCACGGGACCCAGGGGGAGGACAACAGAAGAGGTGGCATTGGTGGGAGGGGCAGGTGAGCGGGCATGTTGGCGATGTAAAAACGCAGCAAGGGGTGGAAGCCGGAGACCGGGCACTGCCCTCCGCTCTGCATGTGACAGCTATGGGGCAGGTGCCAGGCCGGTCACTTGCTCTGTGACCCACCAATGACTCCCCAGGTCCCTTCTGGTTGCGATGCGGGAAGCTGTCAGCAGGCCGAGGTGCTGACGTGGCTGCTCGTGTGGGCATCTTGGATTTCCTCCAGGCTGAGGCACCCTACCCCACCCCCGCCCCGTTCTAATTTCTGCAAGTCAGGCTGCTTACGGCTGATGTGTGTTTGCTTTTGACAGAAGATGAAGAGGCAAAGGAAACTCTGAAACCTTCGCCACATGAAGACTTGTGATCTACCTCCCCAAACTTCCCGCTATCTGATCGTTAACTTAAATTATTCAGCTGGAAACTCTGCCCTTAGTGGGAGTCCCGTGGAAGTCTTAACAACCAACGGAGTCCAGGCTGCTGAGACACACCGAGCCACCGTGACCACCTGCCTACACGGGGGAGAGAAACTGCTCCTAGCGGATGGGCCCTTTCCAAAGCTGCATTCGTCTCTTGTTCATAAAGAAACTATATTGTCATATATTTTGATACTGTTCTTTGTAATAAAACTGACTATGGAGGGAGGAACAGAATATTTACTTATTTACTTATTAAAAGACCAAACAGCACAAATACCCACATTCCAGATTTTTGAAGGGAAAGGTCTCTGGGGAGTTCGCTGTTGGCCTCTTCCATGGCAATGGTGATTTCTTGGGAAGATGCTGAGTGCCATGTTGGGCAATTTTGTGCCACTCCCCCCCCATCCCCCAATAAATAAATAAATCGATTGGTTCTTGATGTAAATACACATTTTTTCCTTCAGACTTGCCATTAGGGCATTTGATGGGCTGTTAGGACAGTAGGATTTCAGGTCCTTCCCTATAATAGATACCAGCCCTTTTCTTGAAATAAATTTTTGTTGACGTCTTTTATTACATTGCCATAATCTCCTCTAGTATCTCTTCCTCTCTCCCTCCCAGACAGACGTTTGCGTAACAAATAATACCCTTTAAAGACAAAGAGAAGAAAAATCAGCATCGTTGATTGTCGAAAAAGCCTGGAAATTTTCAGCATATGGGGACCTTCCAGGGCTGTGAAGAGCCAGGCTGGACCCCCTTCCCTTCTCCTTCACTCCGGTACTGGTTGGTCTTCGTCATTTTGTTCCATTACTTTGGATTTTTGGCCCTGTCCTCGTTCTCGCCGTTGATGTTACTTGTGTGGAGGGTTATGTTGGCTCTGCTGACTTCACTCTGCATCAGTTGGTGGAAGTCTTCCCAGGCATTTCTGCATTCATCACATGCTTCATTTCTTACAGCGTGGGAATATTCCATTACACGGATTGGTCTTAACTGACTTAGTCATTCCCCAATCCATGGGTTATCAAATCTTGATAGCACAAAAAGTGCCGCTACAGATGTGTTGGTGTATGTGGGGACTTTGCTCCTGGTGGTGGCTTCCTTAGGGTATGACCCAGTAACAGAGACTCTGGGTCACAGGGTATGGACTTCTTAGTCACTTTCTCTACGTAACTTCCAAGCGCTTTACAAAATGGTTGCACTACACCCACAGTGCCCCAACGATGCACCAGTGTGCCTGTCTTCCCATGACTCCTACACCATGGACTCTTCCCATCTTTTGTTGTTGTTGCCAGTCTGTAGAGAGTGAGGTAAAAACTCGGGATGGTTTTGTTTTGTGCTTCTCTTTTTATTAGCACTTTGGATCACTCTTTCATATAGTTGTGAATCGTTTGTAATTTTTTTGAAAACCGTTCAGATCCTTTGACTGATTTTCTGTTGAGGAATCAGCCGCTGACAAGCTCGCCTGGGGTCTTCCCTTAAAATGAAGGTTCAGGTAGGAGCCAACGAATCAAAAGAAGGGGCCACAAGGGAAGAGGAGTTTTTGAGGATGGGGAAACATGGGCACCTTTGTAGGCATGAGATAAAATGGAGCATGAGATGGGGAGGCATAGCAAGGCAGTATTCCATGCAGAGCCTTCTCTGGTTCTGAGTGCCCTGCAGGCTTAACCCAAGGTCAGCAGTGCAAAATGGCAGCCCTATGGCGCCTCTCTCCCCCTTAGCATTAGGTACAATGCTAACTGCTGGATGTGTCGCTGTCTCTGTCTCTGTCTCTCTTTCTCTTTCCCCCCCTTCCCTCTCTCTCTCTCCTCTGTCTGTCTGTCTGTCTCTCTCCCTCTCCCCCCATTCACTCTCTCTTTCTCTCTCTCTTTCTTTCTGTTTTTCTCTCTGTCTCTCTCTCCACTTCCTTCCTCCTTCCTTCTCTGTCACTGTTGCCTTCTTGTCTCTCTCTCTCCTTCCTTCCCTCTCTCTGTCCTTCTCTCTGTGTGTCTCTCTGTCTCTCCATCCACCTCCCTCTGTCTCTCTTAGAAGAGTCATCTCATCCACAGCCAGGACCGGGCCTACTGCCCTTTGCTGTGAGCAGTCCACATCTGGGGTAGCAGATCTGTGTTGGGACGTTGATGAACTAGAAATCATCCAGCTTCGAGAAGCAGCCAGAAGGTGAAAATGCTGGAGTTAATATTCCATGAGGAGTGGATAGATGAATTGAGGATGCCAAGCTTGGAGAAGGGAAGATTCAGAGGGCATGAGAGCTAGGTTTGAGTGTCTGAAGGGCCGCCCCACACAGGGATTAGATAGATCTTCTGCTCGGCCCCAGGGGCTGAACTAGGAGCCAAAGGGGAAGGGAAGTAGTTGTAGAGAGGAAGACAAAGTCTGGTGTGAGGAAAAGCCTCTGCACAGGGAGCCCTACCCCAAAGTAGAGACGTCTGCTGAGGCGGGGGGGGGGGGGCTTCCCATCGCTGGGAGGCTTCGGGCAAAGGCTGGATGACAAAGTGTTGGGGCATACTGGATCTGGTGTGGCTTGGACTTGAGATTCTGAGGTCCTGTCCTATGCTGAGATTTGCTTTTTCAGTACAAATAACAGCTTACTTGGCCTTAAATGAGAGGTTATTTTTATGAGTGAGTTCATTCTCCATTGGAAGGCCATAAGCAAGCGTTACACGCTTTTGGTGATTTCACAAGGACCGTGAGGGAGGCTGCGTCCTGCAACGGCCCCAGCTCAGAGCTGCCCCTCAGCAGACCCAGGCCACAGGAGAGCTGGAACTTGAAGTCTTAAGCTCAGGCCTCATTCTGTTGGGGGGCCAGGAGGGAGCAGAACCTGGGAGGAGGGTTTTGGGTCCACTGGGGGAGGGTGGACAGACTCTGGCACACTGATGCTGGGCAGAGTGTGACCGAGGGAAGGCTCAGGATCCCATTCTGGCCAGGGGCCCCTGGTTTCCCCCGATCCTGGATGTTCCTTATGAAAGCTGTAGTAGAGGTCCCTAAGTCTGCTAACACCGCACAGAGCCCAGAGGGCAGTTGGCCCCAGTCAGGTGCAGCTACGTCAGAATCCCTGGGGTTCCATAGAACAGCTGTAGAACCCTGACCCCCAAATCCCTAGAGGGGACGTGACAGGGAGGAGTCAGCAGGAAAGGGGGCCCCAGTAGGCTGGGGGAGAGGTCCTCAAGGTATGGGGATGTTGGACCAGAGGAATCTCTGGAGAGGATGCTTGCCCCTCTTAAATGTCATCCCCCTTGGACAAAGCCCCAGGCCCCTGGCCTAGGTAGATCTGGCCAGAGAGAGGCCTAATGATCTTGTGCAAGTCACAAAACCAGAACCATGGGTCACTCGGCCCAATCTGTCTCTCTTTAAACGCCTGTCCCTTCCCTCTTCCCTGTCTCGGCTTCTGCCCCATTGGAGCTCCTCGTCTGATCCCAGCTCTTCCCTCCTAACCTAAGGAGGGTGTGGGGGCTCCTCTGGCTTCCCCTGGCCCAGCCCTGCCCTAGATCCTGCTCACCTCTGATCCCAGTCTTGGGTCCATCCTGCCATTGTGGACCCTCCAGGCACATGCCACCCCCTCGCTGGGCTTCTGTCATCCCCCTGCTCAAACCCGACCTGCAAATGGCCTCCCGCTGCTTACTGAACAAAGCCCTGCATTCAAGGCCCTCCTGTCTGCTCTGACCACTCTGCCAGGCTGATACTCCATGACTCCCCTTCCTAGACTCAGCTCTAGTCTTCACTGCCCACCAGGCCTGGCACCAGCTCCTCTCCCCATCTCCAGATTTCCCTGCCCTGACCAAAAAGCCCTGTCTTCGGCCCTTTACCCTTGTAATGGGCTTGGGTGGTCAATACCTCTCTCCCTCAGATTGGACCGTAAATTCCCCCAGAGCAGGGTCTATAGAGCACTGATTTTTGTACTCTTGAAAATAGTAGGTGTTTAATAAATGCATGTTGCTTTGAGTAAAGTTGTTCAGACCTTTGTGTTTTCATTCACAAGTGTTGCATCCTAAGCTCTCTCTCTCTGTCTCTCTCTCTCTCTCTTACCTCTCCTCCCCAACACTAGGAACAGAAAAAAGAACAAAACTTTCATCAGGAACACGTCCCTCATTCTTTTTTTTTTCATCATTTAATCAACCAATAAGCATTTATTGAGCATGCACTGTTCTAGGCACTTATGCTAGAGACAGAAATGAAACAGGCCCTTCCCTCCAGGAAGACATTCTACTGAGGGAGGAAGAGTCACCAGGACCAGTGGACCCCAAGCTTTCTTGAGCACTTTTTCCAGCAGAAATTTTAGAGCAGGCATTCCCAATACATGCGCATTCATTTATTCATCAGTTTCTATACATGTATGATTGTGAGGCTTTGTCCAACCCCAAACCAGAAGGGGGAGGGGGCTGTATAATCACTGGGCCCCCTCCTGGGGTACCAAGCCCCTCCTCTGAGGGGCCCCTGTGGCAGTCCTGAGATGCTCTCAGGGCAGGAGTGGGAACGCTCTCAATGGCCCCACAGAGCTGCCACTGCTGTGGGTGCCTGGGTCAGGGAGGGGCAGAGGGAGGGAAGTCAGGGTACAATGGGCAGGTGTCAGAGATGAGCCGCACGATTGGCTGGTGTACTGTCGTCAAGGGCAGGGCCCATTTGGGGCTTTTTGGTAATCCATGCTTAGCACGGCACCTGGCCTTTGTTGGGTCACAGCGCCCACTTTGGCAACTGCTGACCAGCTTCTTAACTGGTCACTCTGATGCTGGCTTTGCTGTCTGAGTCATGTGCCCCAAGCCTGGCTGGGACCATCTTCCCCTTGTATAGACACTCTGAAGGACTCACTATCAATTACAGAATAAGCCCCCATGCCTCAGCTTGGCATTCAGCATCCTCCAAAGTCTTGTTCTGAGTTTTCTCTGCCACCTGACCTATCTCTCTCTTCTTTCCTTCACCTACCTGTGGCCCAGGGACAGTTTGCAATGTTCCACCCAAGCTTTGGGGATAAAAACTCATCATGTGACAAAAATCTGCTGGGCAAACTAGAAAACAGCATGGCAGAAACTAGGTATAGACCAACGTCTCACACCCGATGCCAACATAAGGTCAAAATGGGTACCTCATTAAAGGATGATGCCATAAGCCAATTAGGAGATCATGGAATAGTTTACCTGTCAGATCTGTGGAGAAGGGAAGAATTTAGAACCAAACAAGATATAGAGAGCATTACAAAATACAAAATGGATAATTTTGATTACACAAATTAAACATTTTTGCATAAACAAAACCAATGCAACCAAAATTAGAGGGAAAACAGGAAACTGGGAAAAAAATTTTACAGCAAGTATTTTTGTTAGAGGCTTCATTTCTCAAATACGTAGAGAACTGAGTCAAGTTTATAAGAACACAAGCCATTCCCCAATTGGTAAATGGTGAAAGGATATGAATGGGCAGTTTGTCATGTGAAAATAATGTTCTAAATCACTATTG